ATCATCATGAAGACATTGCGCAATTCAAAGATTATCTTCATCAATGTTTTCGTATGAAGGACTTAGGGAAATTAAAATACTTTCTTGGGGTGGAGGTTGCCGGATCTCCTACAGGAATTTTCTTGTGTCAACGGAAGTATGCGTTGGACATCATAGCTGAAGCGGGATTGCTTGGAGGGAAACTCGTGTCCACGCCAATCGAAGAAAATCATCGTTTAGCATTGGTCGATGGCGAACTACTTTCCGACCCGAGTCAATATCGATGTCTCGTCGGTCGCCTTATTTACTTGTGTTTTACACGACCTGAATTATCTTACGGTGTTCATGTCCTATCTCAATTCATGCACCAACCGCGTCGGGAGCATTGGCGGGCTGCACTCCGCGTGGTACGCTATTTAAAGGGCAGCCCGGGTCGGGGTGTGCTTTTAAAAGAGAGAGTGACCTTCGTCTTTATGGTTGGTGTGACTCGGATCGGGCAAGTTGTCCTCTCACTCGAAGATCTCTCACCGGTTGGTTTATTTTCCTTGGTCAATCCCCGTTTCCTGGAAAACCAAGAAGCAACATACGGTTTCTCGATCATCCGCTGAGGCGTGAATATCGTTCTATGGCCAACACGACATGTGAGTTGAAATGGCTTCAAGGCCTTCTTTCGAGCCTAGGCATTACTCACACCGACCCTATGACTCTCTACTATGACAACCAAGCTGCCCTTCACATTGCCAAGAATCATGTGTTTCATGAACGGACAAAACATATTGAAGTGGATTGTCATCTTATTCGTGATGAAATACAACACAATCATATCCAACCCTCCTATGTGTCCACTCATCATCAACTGGCTGATCTCTTCACCAAATCTCTTGGCGCCACTAAATTTGGTTCTTTTTTAGGCAAGTTGGGCATTCATAACCTTCATACTCCATCTTGAGGGAGGGTGATAAACATAGAATATACGATTACAAATACCAGTATCATGCCATGATTCTACATGATTAATTTTTTCCATATTTAGCTTGGCATGACAGCGATGCACAGTGATGCACATTAATGTCATATCTGTTAATAGACAAATTTAGGATACCGACTATAATGGTTAGCGTAATTATAGCCTAGAATGTTTCTGTATTTCATGTATATATTGTGCTATCATATTCAATACAAGACAGGGGTTTTTGGAAATATTTTTATTAACATCAACAGTAGGCAATCCTACCTCTGAATGTCTACTGTGGGCAAGAGAGGCAAACGGGAATTCATGTTCTACAAACTTAACATCTCTCGAAGTCCAGAAGACTTCTCTTTCCAGATCAAACAATTTCCAGCTCTTTTTTTCGATTGAATATCCAACAAATACATTCTTGCGACTTCTACTTGCAAATTTGTCACCTTTCCTATCTTGGTTATGTGCATAACACAAGCATCCAAATACCCGTAGATGGTCATAAGTGGGTGGCTTCCCATTCAATATTTCATATGGAGTTTTTCCATGGAGAACGGTTGAAGGTGTACGATTGATCAAGTATCCTGCGGTCAAAATGCATTCTCCCCAGAATTGAAGTGGAAGTTCTCCCTGAAATCGTAGAGCACGAGCTACATTTAGGATGTGTCGATGTTTTCGTTCGGCTCTCCCATTTTGCTGAGGTGTTCCAGTGCATGAGGTTTGATAGAGTATCCCATGTTGCTGAAAATATCGTTGAAGACACATAAACTCAGTTCCATTGTCACTTCGTAATATTTTGACTTGTTTCTCATATTGTCGTTCTATTAAGGCGATGAAATGCATTAAGGTTTGTGACACATCTTTCTTATTATTCAAGAGATATATCCACACAGCTCGAGAACAGTCATCAACCAAAGTGAGAAAGTAAGATGCACCACAAGACGAGGGAGTTCTATATGGACCCCATAAATCACAATGTATTAAATCAAATATATTGGATGCTTGAAAATCACTTAAAGGAAATGTGTTTCTGCATTGCTTTGATCTCTCACACACTTCACACACATGAGTTGTATCCGTATTTCTATTCACGCTGTTCAGATGCGGAATTTTTCTAACAATCTGGTAGGCAGGATGTCCCATTCGCTTGTGCCAAATCTCTAGTTGATTTTCTGCATTGGTCCGATACGCCTTTATGCCACTCACACCACGATACCAATAGAGTCCCTCTTTTCGTTCACCCGCTCCAATCAGCATCCTCGAAGTGTGGTCCCGCATTGCACAAAATCTATCGATAAAATGTACTCGTACATTTTACTTCATTCATCAATTGTGATACTGAAATCAAATTGCAATTCAATTTCGGAACATATAGAACATGTTTAAGTTTCAGTCCTCCATCAAGGAAAACCGATCCTTCTTTGTTTGCCAGCACCAATTCACCATTTGGTAGTCCCACTCGGGCACCCTTCCAAGGCTCGACTCTCCCTCAAGTTTTCTAGTGTTCCTGTCATATGATTAGAGGCGCCACTATCAATAATCCACAAGTCACATGCTTTCTTACCAGTCATCTTTTCAGTTTCATTTGCCTTGCGAGAATTCAACATTCGTTGTCAAGATCTCGCCATTGCTCATTACTCGGTCCTGCGACTTCGGTTTTTCGGTTGAACCAACGTTATCCGCACCCGTGTGCGCCATATTGACGCGAGCCGTTCCTCCTTTTCCTCGGAAGGTTCCTGTTCTTTGTTGATTTTTTTCATCGTTTCTATCGGTTCGTGGTCTCTCTCCCCACTATTCCGGGTAACCAATGATCTTGAAGCAATTGCCTTTGTCATGTCCCTTCCTTCCACACTGCATGCAAACAACCGATTTTTCTTTCGCTTCATTGCGCAACTTGTTCCTGGTTTCCGCTCGCATAGCCATTCCCACGATCATTCCTCGCTCTTCTTTAGACCTGGTGATTGTTCTCACCCTTTCTTCTTGCACCATGGTGCCATACACCCGATTCAACGAGGGTAATGGATCTGTTGCCAAAACATTTGACCGTGCAGTTCCATAGCCCTCATCATCTAGCCCCATTAAGAACCGATGAATTTTTTCTTCTTCTCTTCTTTTCTCAAGTTGCGTCATAATATTACACTTGCATCCCCCACATCTACACTCGTGGGATTTGCTCGTAATTTGCCAGTTCATCCCACAACGTTTTCAACTTCCCATAATAGGAAACCATAGTCATTCCTTGTTGTTTGCATTCTCGCCAACTCGACTTTAGTCGCTGGATTCTTGGTCCGTTCACGATCGAGAATCGTTCCTTGATGTCATCCCATAGGTCCTTTGCGTTTTCCATGTATGCAACGATGGAACGCAAACTAGGTTCTATAGTGTTTAGTATCCAAGATACAAGCATCGATTGAATTGTCCACCAATCTTCTATCTCGGATGTGTCTTCTTCAGGTTCCTTATGAGTTCCATCTATGAAACCCCATTTCCTTCGAGCCCGCAGAGATATCTTCACGGCCCTTGCCCATTCCTCGTAATTCTCTCCTCGTAATTGTACCGTGTAATCACATTTCCAGGATTATCACCGGCACTCAAATCGTATGGCGATGGTGTTTTCTTCACCGCCTCTCCTCTCTCGCCATTTTAGAAGTACGATCGTGTTCTCGAGTCGTTGGATATCGAGTTTGGTTCGCTCCGATACCATGATAAAAATATTTCCAAAAACCCCTGTCTTGTATTGAATATGATAGCACAATATATACATGAAATACGTAAACATTCTAGGCTATAATTACGCTAACCATTATAGTCGATATCCTAAATTTGTCTATTAACAGATATGACATTAATGTGCATCGCTGTCATGCCAAGCTAAATATGGAAAAAATTAATCATGTAGAATCATGGCATGATACGGTATTTGTAATCGTATATTCTATGTTTATCAATTTTGCTATCTTCGTTAGTCTCACATCACTTAAAAATCAAAATCAATCCAATTTATATATATCTTTCTCTCTTAACCTAACAAGACACACAAAATTATAACAGACAAAAATTTCAAATCAAATAATACATTACCCAAATAATATTAAACTTACACCACATTTTGTTCATTCATGACATGTCTTAAAATTTATAATGATATTTTATTAATTTCAAGTAATTAAATATTTTAGTAGTATTAAGATAGTTATATTTAAAATTTAAAAACAATGTAAATAATCAAGAAATCAATAAAACTAAGAAAGATTTATTGATCAAAAATGCTTAACTGTAAAAGTCTTTACCGTTAAATAATTTTTAAATAATAATTACGAGGTTAGTCATGATGTAACGTGAGTTTCCTCCTCTCAATCCATTAAAAAAATTAATTTAATCCAATTCATGTTGTTGCTTAATAAGTTGGAGTTAAATTAATAATAGATTGATTCAATGATTATTTTTATTTCAATTTTTAAATAATTATTTTAATTTATCTTATTGGTATATTAGAGTGTGAAAAAATATATTTTAATGAATAATCTGTGTTCTTTACTAGATGAGATTTAAGGGGGAAAAAAACAAAAACTTAACCTGAGTGAACTTACCTTATTTAAATATATTGATTACTTAATTGTTTGATTTTGTCTTCTATCATGTTGAACTAACCCTACCAGAAAAAGGAAAAAAAAAATCTAATCTGACTCAAATTTTCAATCAACTTTTTTTTTGAATTTTGAATTTTGAATTTATATTTTAGAGTGTGATAAAGAAAGTAAAGAGATGTCATGCATCAGTGTTGTAAAATCGAACCGTTAGATTATTTACAGAAATTTGGTTAGGAAAATCCCCACAAAATATGATTTCATTCTCTTTATGAAAGATCATGTTTTCACTCTAAAGGTACAATATATCAGATACTTGATCTTTATTGGCATGCAAGAAACCAAACTAAACCTAGAGGAAGTTTATTAAATCAACTAACCTACTCAAAACACCTCAAACTTCTTTCCCCTGCATTCATGCACTCAAATTTGAGAGAACCAAGCACCAGTTATTGATTTTATTTGAAGGAACACTAATTGAAGTTGATCTTGAGCATGTCAATGAAGTTCTTCCCCTCAGCAATGTCATTGGATGCCAGAAAGTTAAGAAAATCTCTAAAACTGCTCTCTTTATACTTCTTAGGATGTTGATCATCCACAAGCTGTTCAGCTGTCTCCATTGTGTCATCCAACCCCAAACTGAACAAGCTAGTGATGGAGATCCTTGTGTTGTCCTTGTTAAGGGTAGCCCTGTGCACAACACTCTTGTACAAGCCATTGCTTAGTACCTCAAAATGGTCACCCACATGCACTTGAAGTGCACCAGGAATATGTGGGACCATCTTCCATGTGCCATCCTCCAAATCCATTATCTCTAACCCAGGGTAGTTTTGGTACAAAATTGTTAGACAACTATAGTCAGAATGTTGGGGTAGCCCTAGTGCAATCTCTGGTTCTGGGCAAGGTGGGTAGCAATTCACTGCCATCACTTGCATGCCATCTTCAACCTTCTTTGTTAGATCTGTGCATGCATCTAATTCAAGACTCTCAATCAGTGCCATCATCACCTCTAAGCTCAATTTCTTCACCTCTTCACAATATCTCCCCATCTTTTCCCTACAAATTTTAAGAGTGAAAATTTACATTCTCTGTTAGTGTAGTTTTTTTACATTATCATTCTATCATCGTTATCGTATTGTTAAAAAAGAGTTTAAACCTAAGTTGAAGTGTTAAACTCTTTTTAAAAATATAATAATGTATAATTGATTCATAATATAAAAAAATTACACCCACAGAGAAGTAAAAGATTAACAAGTTAAGTACACCAATGTTTTCAAACATGGAATATCGATAATATATGTGCAATGAAATTCATGAGTTTCAAATATAAAACTTCATGTTATATTGCTATCAACCCAAAAGCTTTCAAAATTCTAGAGACAATATGAGCCTTATGTTAAAGCTTATCCACAGTATAGATAAAGTAACAATTTTTTTTTTTTTTTATCATACCTTTAAGTGTAAGATATATATATCTTTAGATGTGATGCAATCAATTAGGTCATCCCGTGACATATTCATTAATGTTGAATCTTTGTTTTTCGTGTAATTTCAATTTATGTCAAACACGTTTCTTGAATATTATATTAAATTAAAATGTTTATCTGTAATGAGAGTTTCTCTTAGTATATTGGTGGATGAATTTTGAAATTTTTGGTGCCATAGACGAGAGAATTGAGTTGATGTCATTTCCAAAGATTTTGGGGAAGCTAAATACATGCATATCACTTTCAATGTTATTGGAATTGTTGGTTTGTCTATTTATGAAGCTGACACACATATCCATCTTTTGGGTTCATGTCCTTCATCCATATCAGGAAATCATTCTTCAAGTAAGATGAATATTATAGAACAAATTCATAGTATCGACTCTATAAATTGATCTATACACATTCATGCAGAATAAATTTGACATGGAATGAACGAAAAACCTGTAATCTGATGGATTTTCTGGCCACAAGTGGATCCATTCTTTTAAGGGGTGGGCACAGTGTTTGAGAAAAACCCTCCAAAATTGAACCTTGTCAATCCCATCTTTCAAACTCGTTCCATACCTCACTGGCTTGTGCACATCATTTGACCTCAACTTCACCTTCTCCATTGTTGGCAATTCAAAGAATTTGGAAGCAACTAATAGAGCCTCATCCATCACCGATTCACTCACACCATGGTTCACAACCTAAAAGTTCCCAGGTTCAAACATGTGAAAAGACATGCCCAAGAACTCAATTATACATCTGCATAATCCTTATATAAAAGTGCAACTAGAACTTTGCTACATATAATAAAATTTGAAGGTATTTTCAAATCTAATTATATTTTATCAATTTTAGAAAAGAAAAAAAGATATCATTGGAATCTACCATTGTAGATTATATAAGAGAGGAACAATTTGAGGAATCACGTGACTAGCTATGAACAGTGATGATTTTACACCCAAAGTTGTCGTATGTATATAGAGGAGGAGAAAAAAAGATTGAAGATAAAGAAGAGAGAGAAAGAAATGTATTGATATTTATTAATTAGTTTCAGGATTTTATTAAATATTTACGACATTTTAAACATTAGATTTTTGTAGGTGATGATGAGTTTATTATATTATTATTTTAGGGTTATAACACGAAGGTCTCATTAGATTATTGCATTATGTTTCTTATTTTTTGCATGACTGAAACGTTGTCTGTGAGTAGTGTCTTTAATAATAAAAAATGATTAACTTAAGTAATTTAATAAAACAAAGAAAAATTAGTCAATGAAAATTAAAAATAAATAGAAAAAAAAATATTGATGGTATATTTATATTTATTGATTAATCACTGAAAACGACAACAAAACGTTTAACATGGCATTTGCATGGAGAAGAAAAGTTATAGGTTTAAGATGCAGCTGAAAAAATGACAGAGACACACATTTAGATCATGTTTTTTTTAGCCAAATAAATCGAATAACGTTAAAGAAGATTAAGAAGAAGAAAGACTCACTTGAAAGAAACCAAAGCGAAGACAAGCATCTCTGATTTGTTGGTGAGGCATTGTTGTTCTGAAGTGCAGCAACGTCAATGACAGGAACATTTGCATAATCTTTGGGTGCCAAATTTGTGATAACATTAATATTTCTGAAGTACAGTACAATATATATTTTTTAACATTAATAATATTTATGATAACGTTTAGTGTTTAATAATTTTTTTCAATATCCTATTATATATATTTTCCTTATGAGAATTTTTTTTCTTTTCTCTTATCCCAATATTTGGTCTTCTTATGTTATAAAAATTTTGTTCATAATAAATTTATCAACTTAATATAAGACTACGTCATCTTTATTATACTGTAATAATAATAATAATAATAATAATAATAATAATAATAATAATAATAATAAAAAAAAAAAAAAAAAACTATAGATAATATGTTGGATGAAGATTTGGACTATGATACATTCCATATTTTATTTACAGTTATTTTTAAATTTTTATTTATTTACTGGTTTATAAAAATTAATAGTTTTTTCTTTTATTCTTTATAAAGGAACATAATTGTTTGTATTTTCTTGGGTATTTTAAAAGTGACATGAATTATTTCCTTTACAAAAATCAATTTAACATATCCAATTATTATGTGTATTCTTAAATAAATTATTAAAAATAATTATATCTTTTAAGATATTTTTTATTTAAAGTAAGTCTGTACATATTATTAATAAAATACAATTTAATATAATATATATATATATATATATATATATATATATTATGTTAAAAGATACTTTGAATCTAATCTTAAATTAAATAATACTGAATAATAGTAATATAACATTTAATAGAAATTATATCGGTGGAACTTTAATCCCTTTACTAATCATAATAGTATTTTCATAAATAATTGTTGTAAATAAATTTTAAGATTTATAGCAAATTGAGAATAGTATTTAAATTATTTACATGTTTATATTATATGAGTACAAAATATTTATAAATCAGTTAAATAATTATTGTCTTGTACTTTTTTAATTTAATATATTTTGGACTTATTAAAATATTTTAGTTCATATATTTTAGATCAATTTCAGATTTTTGGTAACTTATTTTGTCACATAAATAACAAAATAAAAAATTTATATTAAATATATATATATATATATATATATATATATATAATTATTATGAAGAAACATTATTTTCTAATTATTAATTAACTATTGAATATAAGAAAAATTATGTAAAAAAATGATTGAATTTAGATATATAAAGATAACAGATAAGATACTTATCTTATCATAAATTGTACGATATATATATATAAAAAAAAGTATATTATATTACTGAATTGATTAAATTTGATTAAACAAGACAATTATTATTAACACACGTGTTTACGGTATCGAACGAAATAGTTTGTTTCCTTTCTAATTTCAGCTTTTGATAATAATGTGAAATTCCACCTTCTTTAGCACATGTTTATGTTTAAAAATTGAAATTGTTAATAAATATAGAATTTATAACACATAGATTATAAATCTAAAATAAATCAGATCTCGCAACAAATCCTCTGAAGTCAAAACAAAGAATCCGAATACAGAAGAAGTGAAATATCAGTTACATGAAGAAAAGGAATAATCTGTGAAATAAATAATCAAATTCGGTGCTATAATTAGATAATTGACCAAATATTTTCCCTGGATAATAGACAAAATTAAAAGATATAGAGAATTAGGAAATTGAAACGCAAATTGTTTCCTAAAGGACTTTTTCATATCCCATCAAAGAACGAATCCAACAGGTTTATAAATAGACACGAAAGCTGAAATCTTTACACAGAAGAGGTTCTGGAAGCGAAGAGATTTTGACAGAGCAACGGGAAAGAAAGATGGTGAAGGAAGAAGCAACGACATCATGCAATGGGAAAAGTGAAGGTTGTTTGAGGTTGTTTGGTGTCGACATCGTTGCAGAGAAACCTGTCATGGATGGTGATCCTCCTCAGTGTTTGAGTTATTGGCATGGAGAGAAGGAGATTAATGAAAAACAAAAATCCTCAAATTTGTCTCAACTCCTTCGTCAACAACCTTCCTACTATCATGACCACAACAACAACATCAACATGGGTAGGTACATTATTTTGCATATATTCGTCTACGTTCTCCAAAATGAATCTATCTTTATCTTTGGATGTGTTTTGTTTAGTATGTTTTGTATGTATTTTATGTTTTTTAATGATTTTTTTCTGTTTTGCAGTGTATTCTATTTTTGGATTTTGAGTACTTTAATTGATTTTATTTATTTTTTAAAAAACTTATTTGCATATATTCATGTTTATAAACTTGTATTATATTCAATGGAACGACAGGTTTTAAAATATACATTCATACATTTATTGTTGATGTGAAATAGTAACATATTTGCTGTGAGATAATTTGGAGAAGTGTGAATTATATGTTGCATGTTTCAGGGGAACTTACGAGAGGTGGTGATTTGCAATGTTCAAGAATGGAACTTTTGGATTATTTTTGTGGAGAGAATGAAGAAAAATGCAAAGTTATTTATGTTGGTTCTTTACCTGGTTATCCTAAGTTTATTAGATCAGATATTAATCTGAATGAAGATAACGTGATTATGAGTGATCCAATGAACATGAATTATTCATTCAACCAAAGTTTGGAAGGTGGATATTTGTCAAATATCTTTGTTCAGCCAACACATCCTTTCCTTGACAATGACATTAAGAATAAAGGTACATTTTTTTTTCTTCTTTTTACATCACATAATAAATATATATATATATATATATATATAAATTATTAATATTTATTAATAATAAAGTTCATATATTTATTGATTGATTTTTATCTCTTATTTTACGAATTATATCAAGTGTTAAATAGAAATAGATAAATAAATAAAGATAGATAAATATTTGATTTTGTTTTATTTTTTAGTTTTCAAAAAATAATTTTTAGAATCTATTTTAATAAATTAGCTATTAAATAAGTTTTTTAGTTATTAAAAGTTAAAAATTAATTTAAAAAATCATTTTTTTTATGTTAGTAACTTTTAACGAATGTTGTAATTTTATCGATTGAATTGCTGAATTATGATTTTATTTTATCATAATTATTTATATTAAAATTTTCAAAAATATTAAAGATTATCGCATTTTGATATATTTGTAAAAGCATATATTAGGTAGATTTGGATCTACATAATCAATGTATATGAAATTTACGAATATAATTTTTCATCAAACGTTATATAATTAATAACTTTATATGGAATTTTTTTTCAAATGTTAAAGTATGATTTCATATTATCATATCCATATCAAATTTTATTGAAATAAAATTATCCAAATCTTAGTATTTTTTTAAAATATATATTGTATTGATTAGTTTTGAAAAAAAATATTGAAAGACAGTAAACAGCGTAATATTCACTAAAAGTTATACGAATATATACATTGATATTCTTTATTTATATACAGATTAAATTACACGTTATAACTTTTAGTAAAAAGATTACATTATTATTAATTCTATAGAAAAAATAATTTTAGACCATAATAAGATAATTAAACGATTCTTGTTTTATATGTATACTATATTGAAGAAAGTTTTCAGAACCTCTTGAAAATTATATGTATATATACACAACTTTATGTTTATATAGAGTTAATTAGTTGATAGAATCCATTGTTAATAATTGAGTGTTACTAATTAAGTGGTGAAAATAAGAATGAGAAAAGAGTTTGTAGAGAAGAGGTTGTGAAAGAATGGATTATATGTTGATGAAGGAAAAGCATGGACGGAAGAAGAGCACAGATATTTCTTGTGTGGGTTAAAGAAGGTGGGAAAAGGGAACTGGAAGGAGATATCGAAGAATTATGTCAGAACCAAGACTCCAACCCAAGTTGCCAGCCATGCCCAGAAATATTTTCTCAGACATGGTGGCTATGAAACAAGGAAACGAAGAAGAAGCCTCTTTGACATGTCTTTGGTAACTTTTTCACTTCATGTTTTCTCTTATTCATCTCTCTCACAACAATGTCTTATCATCCTTCATGCAAGAAAAATGACCATTTTGTTGGATATGGCAGGAAGATGATAGAACTTCAAAACCTAATGATTGAATCTTATTTCCAACCACATTTTTTGTAGCTTCTAATTTTTGAGATTAGTTCTAAATCATCGTATATAAGTCCAAGTTAAGAACCAAAACATATCACAGGTATTCTCTTTCTCTAGTTGGATATTTCTTACATAATTTAATATATATCAAAAAGTGTGATACAAATTATTTATATGATCAAAATTATAATATGTATAACAATATATAAAGTGGATTTTTTTAAAACCATCTTGGTGCTATAGTTTAATGAAATATTTCTCTCTATTTCTTCAATGATATATTCTTCTCTGTTTCACTTTTTCAATTATATGTTCTTTTAGTTATTTTTCTTAAATAAAAATAAAAATAATTAAATATTATCTCTTTTTTGTCTCTGTTTCTCCAATCATTTTTTTTTAATTCTCTCTCATATCTAATAATTATTTTGTATATAAAAATATTTATATTATTTTAAGATTACTATTTTAAAATTTAGTTTAAAAAGATTTGATAAGTTTATGATGTGATTATTAGATCTCCATAATTTTTTTGTCTTTATTACTTATTTTATAAATCAGATTGTTAGATTGAGTCATAATTAAATCTATTCTTATATTTATCGTTTATTTATTCTATAACAAATTATAAAAATTTCTCTATTAAAAAAAGCTTTATATTGATTTCCAACAGAGAAACTCACATTTTGTATATCTTGCAGAGTATAATTCATGGCATCTATTCCTTTCTTCAAGCTCCCTGAACCAGCCATTGATTATTGTAATTAGGAAATGTTCTTACAGTTAACACTTCATCAAACACAAAATAAGTCTCTAGCTGTGAACTTTAGGAATCATGTTAGTGTCAATTAAATAACAGAAATTTTAGTCTTTGTTTTTTCATTTTTTAGTAGAATTTTTTTATGTATATATTCATATGATGATTTTTTGTTTTCTTAAACACTATTTAAGTGTTCTATTTGTGTTGATTTCGAGTTGCAGTTAATTATTTCAATATGTTTTGAACAAAAAAGTAATAAATAAAATATATACTAAAAAATTTATTTTAAGAAAATGGTTCAATAAATGTTGACATTTTTTAAAATAAATTTCTACTATTTTGTTTGTATAAAATAGTTAAAAATCAATTAATTGCACATAAAATTAAAAATTAAAAAATAACATTAACCAATTTACTTTTACTTACGTTTTGTATGTACACATAAAAGCTACTAAAAAAGATGAAAATATACATTTTGTATCGTACACATAAGCTTGTCATTTCGATTTATAGCGAAAGGTTTGAATGAAATAAATAATTTATAATAATTTAAATTTAATTTATTATTTTCATATTAAATAGAATATTGAAAAAATATTATTTCACTCACATGTAATGTATTGTCATATATTTTTAAGGGTTTATTCTTATGCATTATTATTGGAATAAAAAAATTTACATTATTGTCAATCATTAACATGGTGAGTAGACTTTTAAAATAAAAATGCATTATCTATAACAATTTATGATTGAATAACGGTATAACATTTTCACACTATTAAATGTACAAGTCTTTATAATATTATATTAAAGCACATTTACTTTCAAGTTATTTGTTCAATATAAACTTTAATATTTTATGTTGTTAATTTTTTATAAATTGTTCTGGAAAATTAATCACTTAAATTTCTACTATATTTTTTATTTATATCCTTAAATATTAAACAAAATAATTTTGTTATGAATTATTTAAAATTTAACAAGGTATTTATAAATCAATATTAATTATAACATTTGTATGATTTTTTGTTCTTGAATAAATGGTAAAGAAAATAATTATAGAGAGACTATATAAGCAAACAGTTAGAATAAAGATTGGAATATATTAACATGGACATCACATTTTGCAGTGTTACAATGAATGTCCTGACAATTGAAGAAGCATTGTGGAAATAGATGAATGACCTGAGTGGAAGTCAAGGTTCAGCAACTTTGGCAATGATGACGGAGGCATATTTGACAATGGATGATTCTGGAGACTGCTGAAGCCTTCCAATCACAGGGAACAAATGTGATGAACGGATGAACTGTCTGCAGAGTGGATGTGCACACATCTTTGCCAGGGAAAAGAGAGCGATTTTAAGAGGAGATTCGTTCCCTGAATCGTTTCGGCTTGGATTAAGTGCTGATACCGCACAATCGGAAATTAATTTCAGCAGGGACTGCATGGCAGCAGAAACACCGTCCAAGGCATACAAAAAATTAGTTATAATCAACTAACTAAAACTCTATCTATTCATTTTAAAACTATATTAAAACATTTAAAGTTTAGTTAGTCCCTAAAATCTAGAATAATTCTGATTTTAGTTTTTCAAACTAAATTATTTTAATATCTTGAATTTGGAAAAATATAATTTTATTTTTTATTTAAACAATAAAAATGAGGGAATAAAATTATAGTTTAATAAAAAAACAGTTAAATAAGTTGTGAAAATTGATATCACTGCTTCAGTTTGAGTCCGTAAGTAGAAACTTTCACGATATTTTAAAAAAGATGCAGCTTTGCTAACCTGAACAGCTCCTTTAGACACAATGTCTTCACAAAGTTTGTCAGAGTTGCGAACCAGATTGCTAAGTGCACCTGCTGCATTTGCCTTAGTCTTATCTTCCTCAGCCATTTGTAACAAATTTGCTAAATGAGGAATCGATCTCCTCAGCTCCTCATACAACAAGTCATTGTGGTAAGCCGCATTTCCAATCTGAATTCAGGTATGGTGCAACATATTAAAAGAGAAATGAAAAAAAGAAGAAAAAGCGGCATATGTACGGTATGAGAAAACATAAACATGATGGCATCAGTTCTAAAAACAGAAAGGATGAATTTGTTCTAGACACATCTTGGTAATTTGACAAGTGAAACATATAATAAAATAATTGATCGCATTTTATGTTATTATGTCCATGCAATTACATTATTATTCTTTAGGAAATTATATACCACAATAATATTTTAAAGCCAAAATAAATAAATAAAATAAAACGCCTTAAGAAACAAATATGAACAACAACATGATGATGATGATGATAAAGTTTTAGCATCGGGAGTAGGAAGGTGATAAAACTTACAGCAAAACAAGCAAATTTTCGTGTTCGTTTGTCAGGATCAGAACATCTTTCGATAAGGATATCAACAATTTGATGTCTAGCCTGGAAATTACAATGGAAAATAAGAGAAATCAAAATATGAGAACAGCAGAAAGCATAGTATCACTTTTGTTTTTTCACATGTTTATTTGAGCGTGATAAATCTTAATGTATGTGTGCTGTCATCCCAAAAGGAACACTTCTTTTTCCTCTTACATATAGCGGCTAGTATAAATCTATTTTACAAAATAAATACCATTATTTAAAATACTTACAAGTGAACTATAAAAATACGCGCTATGACGACACATGTTTCCAAGGGCACTGCAAGCTTTGGCACGCATATTAGGATCCTCGTGCGAAAGAAAATCTTTTAAGAACTCCAAAACAGAAGCACCTTTAATGTACTCATAGAATCCCTGAACACCATAATACAGATAGTAATGATTTTCCGAACTATCATTTAAGGAATATCCGAAATGTAAATACACAGAAATTAATGGTCCAAACAAAAAACATAACTGTCGGTGACCCAGAAACCACGAGTACATATAAGTTCAAAATAAAACTTTACATTCAACCTAAATCAAAGTGACATTTTGACATTGCTGAAACAAAGCCTTATCACCCAAATAAATTCACGAAAACAAAATAATTGCTGAAACAAAGCCTTATCTTTATTTTTTTACACAAAAAAAAAAAAAATGTATGTAGAATAACCGCATGCACTATCTCCACCTATCTATCTCTTTCTTTTGTGTACTTACCACCCTCTGTAAAGAAAGAATATAACTGACCAACTTTGACATTTGCATTTACATAAAATCATTTGAAGGAGAATGAAAACTCCAACCTTGTCCATGCGAGCAAGATCAGAAATAATCATAAGAGCATCCAGTGTGACCTCTTTTGGGCCCGAACAGTCAAACAACTTTCTCATCCTATTTGGATCCAAAAGACCTTTACTCACAAGTTGGATTGCCAAAGGTCGGTGGCAGACCATCTTAGCCAGAAAAGCAACAGGCCTGCCCAAATCATTCAAATCCATATGATCTATACACCGAAGGATAATACCAGGCACACCAACCTGAAAAGTTCAGACCAGTTAATGATGATAACAATTTGAGCATTAAAGTTAATAACATAACAACTCAACTGGTAAAATTACTAAATAAAACCAACAAAAGAATTGTCTGCTCAGAAGCAATAATTGTTGAACCAGAGTACAGCACAATGACTTAACCATCATCAACCACCGCTCCATAAGGAAAATGAATTGACATGTAGTAACGTCTTATTATCACATGATGCAATGATCTCTCATTACTATCACATGATACAATGAAATTTGCTTGAAGCTGCCCAAACTCCATTAAAAATTACCAAAATGAGGAATCGAAAAAAGATTTTACCTCTACAAGGATCTTAATATATTTTCCCATGTCTTCTTCGATTGCCTTAACTATTCCCTTATCTTCCATGCATACTCTCTGCCCAGGGGAGCCAATATTAAGAAGAAACCCACTGCTGACAGAAGCAGTGGCCGATGGCAAGCCAGGTGCATTTTGAAGAGCAACAAAAGGAAATGCTAAGATATCTATCACAGCATTCACTAGATCTCTGACTCCAGCTCTCCCTCCACCAGGACCAATCCAGCATTTTACCAACTTGATATGAACATCACAAATCAAGTTGGAAATGAGCTTAATATGTTCATTCCTAATCAAAATTTGACGATAAATCAAAGCACCGCCAGAGAGACAATGAGACAACGATGAAATTGTCCATACAACACCAATTGGAGACAATCCAACTCTATCATTTAGATGGTCATTTCCATGAGAAGCATTTAAAACATCATTGCCTAATAACCCCATAAGAAGTAGAGGAATGCCACTTGCACACAACTGCTGAACAGCTAATGGTCCTCCCCACTTGAGTCTGGAATCTAAAAGACCAACATGCCCATCTCTTACCCCTTGCCAGTGTGAGAGCTTCCCGCTGAAGTTGCAAGGGTCCAATTCATTTTCATTGCCAGATGAAATTTTAAGATGGTCACTCAGTGTAGAGGTTCGAGGAATTAAAGGCGTTGCAATTTCAGATATTCGAGACTCAACCAAAGCCCCAGATTCGAGGGATAGAATGGATGCCAATGCCAACATGGCTGATGCACTTTGAGGTTCGATAGAGGTTTTTATTTTATCATCAGAAGAAATATGATGAGAAAGCACTGAAAGTCGAGCAAGCTGCTTCTTTGGTGCGGTAGTGAGCATAAAAATTGCTGAATTTCTTCCAGTTGACTTCAAACACAGAGCAATTATTGCAAGAACGAGACATGAATGACGAACCAGAGCAGAAGGATTTGTTAATTTGCATTTGACATTACTTGGTTCTACACTCTGTGAGTCTTTGTTAACAGAGGAACCACATAATGATAAAACAGTGAAAACTTCTGAAACAATAGTACCATCACCACCGCCACTAACAACAGTAGTCACCGGAAGGGAACTGGGAAGACCACAAAGGAGAGCTGGAACAATTTCATTATGAAGGCTGCACCTTGACAAAAGCTGGAGAAACAGAATATGACAAATTAAATCACCTTTAAATCTTTCATAATTACAACGACAAGGTTTGCCCAAATAGCAATTAAATGCTACAACATCATCAGGAAAACAGCAAGAAATTATCGGATTCGTCTACTCTACTTGTCCAACATAAAACATTGGCAAAACTTGCTGTCATAGATTCAAAAAAGGGGCAAGGGGTAAACCACAAATACCTGAAGACAACAATTCATTGCAGACTCAAGTCGTTGGTGAAAACAATAGTAAACAGAAACCTGAACAGCTTTAGATCTTAGGAATGCTCTTGTCATTGCATCAACAATCTTTGTTGAATCTGCTTTTTCCAAGAGATTTTGCTCATGTTGCACAACTTCAATTCTATGCAAAGAATGACTCCGCAAAGCATTAATGGGAAACAAAATGGCACTTCTTTTCATAAAAAGAATATCCAGTGCATTAATCAAAGACCAGACAGCTCTGCATGCTTCAGAAGCAGCCCTTAGCATATTGGAAGAACCTGAAATAAGACTTGATCCTGAAGTAGTTAAACACAGACATAGATGGTCCACTAATCCCATTGTTTTTGCATGGTCTAAAATTCTGTTTGCTGTTTCATTCAGTGTCTCTTGGCCTGAAATTTGAGGAGATGATTTAAGCACCTGAGCAACTGTAGACAGCATGACTGTAATGCAGGCACTGGATTCATACAGAAGTCTTCCAGATGCATCATTATTTGATGCTACAACCTGAAAATACGTATAATATTAAGTACTAGTTTCAAGAGCTTTTGTATCTAAGTCATACAAACTAGTATCTAGTGCTTGTAGGTTGGGTGATAAAATGACAAAAAAGCCATTACTTTGATTGAAAATATAAATTAGCATTACGAGATGTGAATTTACATGGTAGAGTGTTACCTGAGAATAGATTTCAATTAATTCAACCCAGTGACTTAGAAAAGAGCTTGAAGAGAAACTTCCGCCACTATCTAGCAAAATTTTAGTGATGGAGAAACTCTGCACCAAATAAAACATCTCAAGTTTCACCATCTATTCTTGGGAGAAAAAGACTGCCAGTTCTTGTGAAAAAACATCCAATAAAAGAATCGACAAACCGAGTTTAATGCATCATTAATCAAAGAGCATCTAGTTTAATGCATGTACTAAAAGTAATGCTTAAAAAAAAAAACTATGCTACAAAAGTCTTTCTTACCAGATGCAATCAGCACATCAATCAAGCAATGTCAAAATGTCCTATAATAAATCATGTCTCAATAAACATAAAAAATTAGAAACAACTCCTAACATTGCTTCTTCAACAATTACTAAGATTACTACGTAAATTATTCGACTATTAAATTAATTGATTCCATAATATATTTTGATTCCATAATATATTATATTCTAATAATCTCCCAAGATTTCCATACAGACTGAGATATTGTAATCTACATCAAACTAAAAACCAAGCATGTTTTACCAGTCAGAGGAAAAAATACAGCAGTATATAACAGATATGTCATTGTGATGTACCTTTGCCATCATGTCAGTAACTTCAGAGGACTTAATGGGTATAACAGACCCAGTAAACACAAGGAGTTCTCTTATTAGTTCATCTATTCGTCCACTAGAATTGAAAGCACCAGCTGCTACTAGGTTTGAGAGAATCCTCAATGACTGATTTGATTGAGGAACATCTTGATCACTGTACATTGTTTAAATTAAATCAGACTTCATAGATAATTAATTATAAAAATTATGTAACAGGAAATAGAATAGAGTAACGCCACACTAAAGGTAAACTCCTATTTATTTATGAAAAAAATTCACAAGAGGAGAAAAGCCCAAAAAACACCAGACACTTGTGTTGGCATTACCATTTCAAAAATAAAACACAATGATTTCTCTACTAGAAATCCTTACAAGGAAGTTTGTCCAAACTGATCCATAATTAACAAAAGCATATATAAACTATGGCTGTTTCATGTAATTATCTTTAAGAAACACAATAATAAACAATTTATAAAATGATTGCTAGAGATACCCTGACAGTCTGACATGCAAAAGTAGGCAAGCAAGGAAGTGAACGAGTCCCCCCACTACCAACCAGCAGACATCATCTGGATGGTCTTGCCGGTATCAACAACAAGAAAAAAAAAACAACCAAATGGATGGCCCAGACAACGTCCAAATACATATAAACTAAGGCTATTTCAAGAAATTAGTTCTTAAAAAAAAACATTTAACAGTTTATACAATGATTGGTAGAGACAGTCTGACATACAAAAGCAAACAACATATGATTTACTTAACTAGAGATCGAAAGCAAATTGCAGACTTCAGATTGAATTTAAAACTATGCGCAAAACATTAAACATCAAGCAGAAATATACTAAGACCATGTTTCAGAAGGACCAGATCAAAAAGAATCTTCCCTGCTTATGATATGGTAATGAACAAAATCTCATAAGTTAATGATATTGAAACCAACTCAATATTTAATGATATTCACGGGCATTTAATATGCAAAGTAAAAGTTTTACGTATGCAGTTTACATCTACCTGCAAATATTTTGAGATCCTTTTGACCATTTTTTCAGTGGTAGCAGAATATGTCCCAGCGCTTCGTTATCTTGACCAATTATTTTTGCACTTTTGACTGTGCGAGAGTTATTTTCAAGTCTGTCCAATCTTTGGCAGCCTATCCAGAAGTATTTACGTCAATCATATTGCAGGTGTTAATGTAAATAGAGAATAATAATCGAGACATCCAAAAATTCATTTACGAAAGTTAATAGAGCAAAAATTATAGTCCAAGTTCATAGTTTAATCCTTAAGAACAAATCACTAAACCCCCGCTAAATGGATGCATACGAAAGTTATGCATACATCCATTCCTTATAAAAAAAAGGTTGGTTAATAAAACGCTTAAAGCCTCGAGAAGAAATTCTTTCATTAGATATGCCTGCATAAAATGTGGGAAACTTTCATGTATGGTACAAGGGTTGGACAAAATTTTAAGAAAATATTATGATGTTTCAACATCAGCATAAGCTTTAACGAATTCATTTGTATAAAAGGATAAAGCGCGTGAAGGGAGTGAGTGGAGAGCGATGATAAATTCATAATGACAATTTTAACATATTGTATTAATGTTATTTTGCATACAATTAGTTATAAACTACTTAGGTTAGAACTAGTAAATGCGAAGGACATGTGAGTATAACAAAATAACAGTAAAACAAGAGAACCAAAAGCATCGAGAAAACATCCTTTTCATTAGCCACAATGTTCAGTTATCGGCTTAACATCATATATAGACCCAAAACCACACCAACATTTTCGTTCTTGGATTTTTCACTGTATATGGCATTCAATCCTTCCTTTGGAAGGAGCATACCTCTGCTCTCATGACCACACAAAACAAAATCAGAAATAGAACAAAACATAGTTACATCAACCAAAACCCACCATACCATTTAAATTTAAATATTAGATCAAATTATGTTAAAATATAAATTTTACAGTTGAATGAAGAACCATTTATCCTTTACCCGTTAATTAAAGTAACAAAAGTACAATAACTCTTTTTTGGATAACAGAATGCATTTGGAACGAATGTAACAAAATATAACAGGAATACCAATAGTTGGAGGTGCAGAAACAAGATTGTGTTTCTTCGAACAGAAAATAATACTCGCGTATAATGAGCAATGAATAAAGCCAAGAGAATTACCTGACTCTCCTATATTTTGATTTGAAAATCCCGGGGACTCGTCGAGCACTGAAGAATTAGTTCTGTCTAAGTTAGGACCCTTTAACTGAACTTCGCTCTGAAGCGGTGAAGCAAAATCCTCCTCCATACCTACCATGTGATTGTTTTTGCCTGTGACAAACAAACTACTATAGTCAACGGAAAGAAAATAAAAAAATTTGGCATATTTAGCTGGAACTTTATTAATATATACGAGTAAAAGGTAGGTAATATCATCTTGCAGTAGCTGAACCTGTTGAAGTTTGAATAGTTTTTCCTTCAACCATCCGTGCTGCATCACTGCGCACATGTGAACCATTTATCTCTCGCAATTCCTGAGGTTAAATAAAAACTTTATTAAATTCATTAAGAAATCAACCAAGTCACACATCCAATGAGCATCTTGCACATTGTGCAAGAATCTAATACTAACCCTGGCCTCCTGTTCATCAGAGGTTTCTTTAACAAATGGGTGTTCAAGAAGAGCTGGCCAAGTTAGTCGACTTTCTGGTGCCTGCTTGAAATAAATTCGGAAACCAAAGCATTTTAAATATCAGTGTAGATCAAAATAAAATATAGTAATGTGGCAATAAAATCGGGGATATATTCACAAGTAAGATACCTTGTTAAGCAAACCCTTTAAAAAGCTTTTGAAATTTGGACTCATTCGATCAGGATATTTAACAGGATCCTGCATTATTGAACTAATGATCAGGCTACCCTTCAGTACTAGTACATATACAACATAAGCGATCAAGTAACAAAAATTTGGGAAATGTACCTTAACAATGTGTCTGATGAGAGCATATACAGAATTTGTGTAAAATGGTGGTTGGCCAACATATAACTCGTACCTGTTATAAGTATGAAAAGTAAGTGACTCAGGACTAGGAAAGCAAACTGAGAGTCAGAAGGCAGCGTTCAACAAAACACACTACCATAACTATCAGTAACACAATGTCATCATTCAGATCACTCTTGGAAGGTGCAACATATCTGGAATATTCACATTATACAATACTACAACCCAGAAGCTGGGGAAAGTATCCGCTGCTAGAATAAAACAAGTTCTGTCCAAAAAATGGAATAAGGATATGACAAATAGAAAGGAATTCAAAAAGGAGAAACCAAGAAAGAGTTGCTTAGAAAAAAAAAAAAACACCTAGGACAACTTCATAGCAACCATCTCTCACTGTTAACTCAGTAAAAAAAAAAAAAAAAAAAAAAAATCAGTACTATATCAATCCTCTCTTCCTTTACCCCACAATCCAATAAAGAACCTAAATTGTATTTTCCATCCATTAATTTCTGAAAAATATAAATGGCCGATGTAAATCTTGTAAAGGGATAAAGACATTAGCGATTATGCAAGATTTAAAAGAACAATCAACCACAATCACAACAAATAAGTCCATTGCTAGACCAATGTAAAATAGAGAGAACCAACATACAGTATGACACCAAGAGACCATAAATCTACAGTGTGGTTGTAAGGTTGTTCACGTACAAGCTCTGGAGCCATGTACAACGGAGTGCCTGTAAAACATACTATATCTAAATATTTGCAGAGTATAGAACAGTCCTGAAAGAATAAATTGAAGTTAAGATTCAAAAGGCATCAAAACCAATTCTGACAAGCCAAACCTTTTATAGATCGTAGAACAACTGTATTCGTGGACATTGCCCGTGCAAACCCAAAATCACAAAGCTACAAGATATTAAAAAAATATATATACATATTAGACCATTGTCGAACATACTCATTTGCAGGAAAGTTGAAATAGCTTCTTATGGTGTCAAAAAAGCTTTTCTTTACAGCTTCCAAGGACAAGTTGTTGAAAAAAAAAACAAATATTTCCCTTAAAAAATCTGAACTAAATATGCACAAAGTGCCTCCTTGAAAGGAAGTGTTTATTGGAAAAATGTACTGGACTATTAAACGAAACAAAGCTTTAACTCGGTTATAATGAATGACATGACAGTAGTTAGTGGATTAGAAGCAAAATTCTACTGCAGCAAGCTATAAGACAAAAAGTTAAGTGTATGTTTCACCATGTGAACAAACTAATAGTTAAATCAACCTTGACAATAGATCCAGCACCAATCAGAATATTTTGGGGCTTCATATCACGATGGATGATCCGATTGGAATGCAAATAATGTAAAGCTTTTACCTGCACAATCCAAACTAAAAATGAACTTCTGCTAAAATGATATAATGCTATAAAGCATAAACAAATACATATATATTATTTATCTGTCTCCTAATCTAGAAGTTATTAAAGACAGCAAAGATTACCAATTGCTTTGCAATTCCTTGAACTTGCTCTTCCGGAAGGCACTTATCATCCTCAAGAATCTCAAATAGCTCACCCTGCGAAATAAAAAAAATCAGAATGCAACATTTATATTGAAAGTCCACACTGTTCCACTATCAACTAGCTGTGTATATACTTAGATCACCGAATAATTGGTAAGTGTTAACTTTTAGATATTGAAGTATCGGTCTGATAACTGAAAATACAGATGATTACTTGTGCAAATTCTGTAACGACACAAAATTCTTGCGGGCTTTCAAAAGAATCAAGCATTTGAATAATATTTCCATGCTTCAACTTTCTTAAGATCTGCAAAGTTTATGAATAACAAATGTTAGCAGTCAGCAGAAACATTTACAAACAATTAATAATCATAATTAATAAGTAGCAACAACAATAGCAAGAAAATCCATATACCCAATGAGGTAAAGTCAGGTACATTCATCAATTAAGCAGTACATTAACAAATCATTTAAAAAACTGTAATGATAGTCTCTCCTAATGTTACCTCAAGACTTAACTATAACTTAACAACAGGTATATAGAACATGGGCTACAAAAGAAATAAATCATAAATTTCCAAGGAAACAAATTTGACATTCTCGATAACAAACCAAATCCATGATGATAATAATACGAATAATAATGATAATAAAACTAATAATATATACTAATGTATAAAGGTGATACTACTTTTCGTAAAGGTTTTTAGTATCCCAATTTTCATACCATTCTACCCTTGTTACGATAAGGGAATGAAAACTGTTGCTGTAATTGCCGTAGTAACTATCTTTGATAACTTTATAAAAATGCGGACATGCGTGCTGGTAATAATAACAATGATAATAATTACTAAATATATACTAATTAAAATTGAAAATAGTACTAATACTAACAATTAACAAGCTTCTTAATACTCCTGATGATCATACCTCTAAGAGAACATGCTTGTTCCAAACTCAAATACTTTTTACACTAGCGGTGACAAAAATAGAAATTCACGCCACAAACAACAAGCTACACAAAATCAGCGACCATCGCTTCTCAAATTTCCTAACAACTACAAATCCATAACAATGATTCAAAGAGTGTAAAAACATTAAAGACAAAAATGAGTGAATCACCTCGATTTCCTGCCTTAAATTGTGAATATCCTTCTCAGTTTTCCCGTGCTTCATTATGAACTTCATTGCAACGGTCTAATCAATAGAAAATAGGAAGTGAGATAATAATCATAATAGATCGACTCAGAAGAAACCCTAATAAGAAGAGAAGCATACCTGCCCCGTGTGCTTGCGCCTTCCCTTGTATACCTTCCCGAAGGATCCCTCGCCGACGAGTTCAATCACGTGGTAGTTCTCAACGCCCATTGTTGAATCCGAAATGTGCAGAGAGAGAAGAAGAAGAAGAAGAAGAAGAAGAAGAAGAAGAGATTAATTTGGAAATGTTGGAAAGTGAAAGAGATTTGAAAAACGTTGCAGAACGGAGAAGGAGAGAGATAGCAGAGCAGAGTAGAGAAATTCGAATTTCTTCTTCCCGCTCCACTCTTTCTAATATATCTTATTTATTAAATTAAATTATTAATTTTATCAAGGAAAAAAATTATCTTAAATATGTATTAGATCCAGGATAAAATACTATTAGACGTTGCTATTAATCTCTTTTTTTTTTTATTCTAACAATTTAGTCTCGAATAGTTTTTATTTTGTTTATTTCCAAAAACAATTTAAATAGTATTTTAAACAGTGAAACAAACCATTGTAAAAAAAAAAACAATAAAGTTCAAAATAAATTGTTAAACAAAATTGGATAATTTATCGAAACCCAAAAATATATTTAACTTATTTATGTAGTAAAAGATTATTTCCAAAATTTTAAAAAACATTAGTTTTTTAACTTATAATAAGTATTTTAAGTTTGATAGGTAATATTTAATCGTATTAATTAATTAAAATGAAGTAAGAAGATAAAACTTTTCAAACTAGTGTTAAACAGTGACAGTAACAGACAAGAAACGGTAAAGTTAATTAATTAAATTTTAAAAGCAGGGGCAAGTTGAACACTCCTAGACATAGCAACGGTACATTACTATCGGCACATTATTGATGAAAATAATCCAGAACTGATGAAAAAATATTAAAAATTACAAATTTTTACAATTATCAAATAAACTTATGAGTCTCAACTTGTTTAAGATAAAATTTTGAAGTAATTTATATGCATTATTTTATTTTAATTCACCAAGAATCATTTAAAAAAGAAAAAAATGTGACAGATTAAAATTCTAAATTTTTTTTAAACAAAACAACAAATATTATCTAATTGATTGAATGAAGCATTGTGACTAAACTTATTTTTAACTTAAAAATAAAAATTACAAATTAGAAAAATATACAAGTTATTTATCAAATTTATTTATTTTTAACTTAAATTCTCTTTTTTAAGTCAAAATCTATATGGTGTTTTTTATATACAACCTTGAAGTAATTATTTTGTTTAGTAAAAACTATAACTATAAAAGAAAGATAGTGTAGAATTAATATAATTTATATAAATTTATGTTACTGATAATAAAAATTAATAAAAACATTACATTACAAGTTTTTAAATTTCAAAAGTTACCTTAATTAATAAATTTTATTTAAGAGACCATTTATAAATTACATACATTGATTATCTATTTGAAATATAGAGATATTTGTGTTTACTTTGGTGTATATATTTCTTTTTCAATTTTTTTTTAACTTAACATATATCTTTAATTTCAACGTAACTTTAATTCTTTCTTTAAACTTCCTTCTTTCTCTTTCAAGAAAAATAAATAAATAAAATATATATATATATATATATATATATATATATATATAAATTTACTTTCTTAATACTATAAGTAATTAATTATTTTATGTGCTATATTTAAGAACACAAACATTAGAGTATGAATTATCATATAAAATAGAATAAAATATTTGTCACTTCAAAATCAAAAATAATAAAATTTACAGAAATAATAGTCAATATTAAATCAATATTTAAAAATAAATAATAGTTAAAAACATTTTCCAATTGTTGAAGCTTAATTTCTTTAATAGTAGAATTTGGGTTTTGAATTTAATATGAATGATTAGTCTGTAATCAAATATGATTTATAGTTCTAAAATCAACAATTTTGGTATAATTTAAAATATTGAGAATGCTAAAAAAATAATTGATAATTATCTTAACATACTTAAAAATATTATCTTTTTGTTCAATACTCATTTTGACATGGAAAATTTGTTTGACACGGAAAATTTGTTTGACACAGCATTCCAATTATGAATTCATGAATATTAATAAGTTTCTATTTTTTAAATTCATCTTCGATAGAAATATAATTTTATTTTTTTAAACCTAACAAATTATTATAAAGACTTATTTTAAAATAAAAATAGATATTTTATGATTAATCTGAATTACTTAAAAATAGATTACATAAATAACTTTTTTCAATTTTATAATTATTTCATAATTAATAATAAAACATAAATTTATGATGCCTATCAATTTACTTTTATAAATTGTTTGATCAAGTCATTGTTTAAAAAAAATTAAAAATATAATATTCTTCTAATAAAAAATTATTTTAAATAATTAATATTTTATTTAAGTATTTCAATAAATAATTCCTTACCATAGAATCCTTTCCTTATCCAATCAAATATTATAATTATACTTAATGAGATGATTCTTAAAATATCTTAATTAATTTTATAAAAGATAACTTAAACTTTATTTATTCCATTCCGAGGTTTCAAAATTTTAAATAACAAAAATATTGATTTTAATATTAACTTAAAAATATTAAAAAGAATACAAATAAATTCATACAGCTTATGTGTGAAGATGTAAATATCCAATAAATATGGACAAATATATGTAATTAAGTACAGTACCAATGTTTAATATTAAATTATATTAAAAATGTTTAATAACAACAAATTAAAAAATTAGACAAAAGACAAAATTAGCATGATAAAAATGAAGATTTACTGGTTTTTATATAAAATGAAATATAAAAAAAATTATAGAGAACCCAAAATTATATTTTAGTTAAAAGAAATATTGTTCTATTTTTTATTTATTTTGAACTGTTTAATTTTTATCGAACAAAATAAAATGAGATAGACTATTTTAATAATAACGGATTATATCATAATCCCTCTCGTTAAAAATAGGTGTTTTAAAAATTTTATGTAAAATAAAATAAAATAAAATAATTTTCTTTAAATTTAAGAACTCATGCATAATCTTTGTGCCAATTTTTAATTTTAAAGAGAATAAAAGTTTTTGAGATTTTGGGTTACATGCTATTAGTATTATTCTATTTTATTTTCAATAAATGAATCTAAATTAATATTTATTTATAAGTTTCATATTCTTAATTGTTAATATTAATTTTAGTATTCAATTTTTTAAAATTAGATATCTAATAAATAAATTTGTGTTTGTTTAAGTTTTTAATATTATCACTATCAGTCAAATGTTTGTGAAGTTAAAATATGATCATATTATCTAAAATAATTGCATTAAGTTTTTATTATTATTATTACGATAAAAATTAAGTTAAAAACTAAAATATAAATTTAAAAATATTTTAGAAATCAGTGTATACGATAAAAAGAAGAAGAAGAAATGGTATAAATATTTTTTAACTTTTACGTTTTTTGAATTACAATATAATTATTAAAATAACATAAATTATTTAAAAATTTTGAATAATGATAAAATTTGATGAAAATGGGATAAACATTAAAGAGGGAGTGAAATAAAATTACAAATAAATAAAAATAATGAATTGGAAAGTAAAGGAAATTAAAAGAATTTATTACAGTGATTATTATTGTAAAAAAATTAAAGTAAAATAATAATTTATTCAAATTAAATTAAGCTTTGATATTAAAAGTTAATGGAATTATAGATTTTATTGAATTGAATAAATTGATTATTAGGTTGAATTTATTTTATTGGATAAATTTAATTCAACCAAATTAATTCATATTTAACCTGAGATTCAATTCATTTATTTAATTAAAATGATTAAATAATATAATATTATTAATAATTCATTCCATTTTAATTAAATATTATATATATTTAAATATTTTTTGGAGAAAATAATAACTTAATTTAATAATAGACAACATTTAATATATATATATATATATATATATATATATATACATTAACATTAAATATCATTAATAATTATTTTTTGGGAAATAATAATATTAATGTTGGAAGAGAAAATGCATTGCTTTTATGTTCATTAATTATTTACATTAATGTTATCTTATGAAAAAAAGAATACAAAATCTTTTTAATAAGTTTATTTTATTTTATTTTATTTTAACTGTATAATTACTTTGTTGAAAGGCAATAAATAAATAAAAAATATACTGGTCATAATCATTTTATTTAATTTAAATAATTTTAAAAAAATTAATTACGTTAATTAAAGCATATTCGTGCATTTGACTTGATGTAATTATATTAAAATCATGATATAAATACATATAATTTTATTACTTTATTCATATATTTTATGAATTAAAATGAAAAATTAGAGATGGAAAAAAATTATTATGTATTTTTTTCACACAATAATAATTAATATAAAAATATCATAAATTCTATTATTAATTATCATATAAATTTAGGTAAATTATTATAATATTTTGATAATAAAAAATTCATGATTATAAAAACATTATCATAATATTTAATAAATTTAATAATATATTATATAACATTCAAAATCTATCTAATATTTAATTATTTAGTTAATTAAATCATTGTTATAATCAACCTAATCACTGTAATAAAATAAAATAATTTGTTTTAATTAAATTAAGAAAATGAATAAAATCTTATGAATATAATCGTGAAAAAGTACGGTGGCAAGGGAGAAAAAAATTATGGATATTTAATATTTAATATAATATATATTAATTATAATAATGAATGTGGTTATAATGAATTAAATAATTTATTGTATTTATTACTCTGTTTTATTGTCAGGAGCGTTTATAAACTTATACGTTTCTTTGTTACTCACATGCGCGTTTCACATTTTCACTCCAAACTCCGCAACAAAACCTGCATTCTTTTGATAATAAATCAAAGAGAAAGAGAGAGATTGAGCAATATTGGTTTTTCATATTCTCCTGTCTTTCATTTTGAGTTCAATTCTGAGGTACTGTGGTAAATGAATAATGAATGATCACAAACTCCTCACATTTCACTTGTGAACCATTTGTTTGGTTTCTATGCAGTTTCCCTCACTCTTCTCTTTCACATTTGTGTTTTCTATCTCTTTCACCCCTTTTGTTCATTCAGAGTCAGAACTTTCAGGTTTTTATGATTTTTTTTACCCATTTGCTTTTTTGCCGCCAAGATTGTATTTTTCCGACAGGGCATTTTATGTTCCTAGAACCCTTTATTTGTTTTGATCTATTTTTATTTTTTTTTAATGTTTCTTGTTTCCTAATTATTGCTCTGTGATTGATTTTTGATTTTGGTACCGTTTTTGTTATTTTGTTATTCCATGCACCTGGATATACCCGCTTGTATCCCACAATTGGAGAAACCATTGACGCTTATGTGAATTTGAAAAAGAAAAAAAAAAAAAAAAAGAAACTGGGACATTTTGATAGTTTGATATCTTCTTGTGGATGCTTAAACAATTTATTTATTTTCATTACGTAAGGAGATGGACACCTTTCAAAGATCAATGAGCATAGAAACATGCAGCTATCATTGCCTTTATGTTATCATCAGTGCTTTTCAACTTGATACGTACCGAGTCTTTGATGTAGCTACAGAGTCTGACCGATTGAGTACCATATCTTTCATTTTTGAATAATTGAGGTTTTTATGAATTTTTGTACCATTTTTAATTGCATTTGTCAATAGAGAAAATGCTACATTCTTAAAGATTAAGAATTTCAGATAAATATCATATGAATCTGACACTTTTAATAAGAAGTAAGAATGTGAGGCGTATTTTGCAACTTCGTATCTTCCTTTTCTGTCAAGGCTCACCTTTTACATTAGACAAAAACATTCATAACATACTCAGTTATTATATAATTTTTCCCTGCAGAAGCTTGCAGTTCACGAGAGTTTTTCAATTAATTGCAGGCCTGTGGAACTCCGCAACATTATTGGGTGACGTGCTATGGGAAATGTACGTTCCATCTGATTTGCTAAAATTATCTGCCATTTTTATAATATTCTGTTGTTGTCTCTGTCATTACTTTAGAATATGTATGAGGCATTGGGCTGACTTTTCTTCGTGGCATCGTTGTCTCATAATTTTTTTTGTCCATGAAGATATTGGGCCTCTGATAAACTATTATCTATGGCATGTTGTATTGTTAATAGAATTTGTTTTCGTTATGCAGCCATTATTTCTTCAGAGATGCCTAAGCTATAAGATACAGGAGAAGCACAGAAAGAGGTAAAAGTTATTATATAGACTTCCTTCTCCAATTCGCTCTCTTTTAACAGATTTACATGCCATATGTCTTTGATTTTATATATGCTAAGTTCAGTTTAAAGTTAATTATATTTTTTTTAGTCAAGTTTCTGTGGATTGATTGTTGAAATGAATATTTTTGATTCAGATAGATACATGTATTTATTAATACATGTGAAGCTTTGGAACGGAGTAACAAAAAAATGTGTGCTCTCTTGCCATTATCAGAAATTTAGTTTCAACTTAGGTCTCTGATGCGAAGAAGAGGTGGACTTAGTTGAAAGATCATATTTCGAAACTTAAGCTTGATGTTTAGATATTTTTTATGTGATTCTAAAATGAATTAAGATCAGGAGTATCAAATCAAATTGTTCCATCAAGCGTATCTAATCAATCTCAAGGGCATATTTAGTAATCATGTTCCTTTTGTTTTGATGAATTTTTTATTTATTTGTTTCAAGAAAAGAAAAGTTCTTGTACTGTTTGACATGATGAAGATAAATTAAGTTTCTTATTTTTATGCAAACCTTGCAATTCCTTTTTCCTGTTCTATTGCGGTGTTTGTTTTATTCTTTCAGTAAGCCTTAATTTACAGTAATTCCATGAGACATTGAGTTCATTCTGTTTTATCTGAATATATATTGATTTTGATATGCTAACGAGATATTTTATTTGCATATGCAGAATACAAATGACAGTGTACCTACCTAGGGCTATCACTGGAAAGAACAATGTCTTTCCAATGTATATCTGTCTTGCTAGGCGGGTTTCTGATGGAACTTCAATGGTAGGGATGCTGCTTCCTGAATGCTGAATCAATTATTATTCCTTATTCTAACCAGTTTCTTACTTCTCAGTGTAAAATTCCTTATCTCTAATAATTTCTTCTGACTGTATAATAATACTTTTTGTTTCAACTTACCAAAAACAAAAAAAGGATAATGCTGTTTATAAAATCGGCCGGCTTTTCATCTTCCGAAATTCCCCTGGAGTTGGTTTGAATTCTGAAATCAAAGCAAAATTTATACTCCCGGAAGTGAATAGGTTAGCAAGGGAAGCTAAATCTGGCACACTTGATCTCTGGTTTGTCAGCACAGCCACTGGTATGAGCATGCTAATGTGATTCAATTGTGATGGAAGTATCTACAATTTTTCCGAGTTCCTTATTATGACTATTAATTGCAGTTGAGGCCGCAAATTCATCACTTGGAGAAGTCAATTCAAATTTGCCGCCTTTGGGTCTGAGTCATCTGCCTCTTGTTGAATGTGAGATCTGCTTTAATTTCTAATTTATTTCTATGCATGGTCTTATTTTATATATTAATAATTAGGTTATGTACTACCAATGATAGTTACCAGATTTGCAATATTATCTGGTACATTATATGCGACCTTACGAAGTTTCCTATGCTACGAATAGTTACATAGTGAAACTAGCTTCATATTTTGAGAGGTTACTAGTATTGGCATGGTTTCTACACTTGTGACTATCGAAGCACATCACAGAAGCCTAAGCTTAACAACCATTATCAATCTTGTTGTCTTGTTAATTCTAGAGAATTCAACAAGATTTAAGAAGTTCAGCTGAAACTAAAGGCGTCCCCTTCTTCCAAATTTATGAGCTTGACACCCAACCCATTTTGCCTATCACTTAAATCAAACCTGTATTTAATGGCTCTAGTGAATGTTCCATTGCCATCAGGAGACAAGTTAACCTCATTGTAGGTCTAGAGGTCCTTCTGTGCCTTCATCTCTAAAACATCGTTCACTTAAAGGCAGCAGTGATGTCCACACTTTTTTATCTCACCTCCGTTGACGTCTTAAAAGACTTGTTACATGCTTGTCTACAATTTCATGGGGAATTTGTGAGAACTAGTGTGCCAACACTAATTTGTGGTTTGCAAGGGTGAGGAGCAGGTTAACTTTGTATGCTACTCACACCTTGAATAAGGGAATAAATTATAAAACACAATGCATAGGAAATAGCTCGTAGGATTGCTTCCCCAATTTTATGAACACTTGTTCACAAAATATTCTGCCAATCGGATAAGATATCATAAATTTCTTAACATTCAAACATAAAATTAAGATAATATGATCATTGTTGTAAAGAGTTGTTCGGCCATTTCCTGCCATGTGATTATACTCAACAAGAACTAAAACTTATCCAAATGCTTCAAACAACAGATAAATTTGGGAAAGTCAAAAAACCTAGAAAATATTTTGATGTTGGTGCTAGTCACAACCAACTTAACTCATCACTGAGATGATTGTTGGTGGTGAGAGAAGCTACTAGTTGTTGAAAAGTCTCACATTACATACATCAATTAATGGGGGATTTTAAGATAGAAATCTAACATAGTATTATATCTTATTACTATGTTTGTAAATCTTGCAGCTTTTAGATGAAATCTAGCATGGTATTAAAAATAGAAATTATTATTGACCTGCCTTAACCATTAAGGTGGTTTATATATTTGTTGGACTACTTTGTTCTAATTGGTGTTAAAATGTAATCTAACATCTTGTAAGATAAATTATGGGTAAGAAGCATAAATTAGGTATGGACCATTCACTCTAAATGCTATGTTAGAATCGGGAAACAAACATTAAATAGGGAAACCTCCGCCATGTTATGCAAGTAGAGAGACTTTTTTCCAAAATTTGAAATTTTGATCTCGACATCACAAGGTAACAAACAAATTGATGAATGCCTCCTTGGAGGATTTAGGATCTCTACAACATCAATGCAATTCAGCCAAGCCAAGCTCGTATGGTTTAGTTCAACCATGAATTCAGTCATAACACAACCAAAGGAAAAGCAAAATCTGCTAGAGAAATGGAATGAAGAAGTCACTCCACGTCCTGATTGATAAGTGGAAGAGGATTAGTCACTTTGAATGTGGAAACTCAAAGGTAAGATTTAAGGGTGCATATCAAATTCAAGAGAAGTATTCCTCACACTTTAGCAGTTAACAAAAAAATTCTAATTTACTCAAAAGTATTCAAATGACTTTGTTTACAATGTATGTATAGTAAAACAGAAGCTTGTGCTAGGAGATTCTTAACTAGGTATCTAGTTTAGGAAACCAATGCTAGAGTTTGAGAAGTTTCTCTCCTTAGCTAAGTAGAAGAAACTTCTTTGTCAAGTTTTAGACAATCATTAGTTAACTACCTTTGGATCTAGTTTAGTCAAAGTATTCAAATGCTTCTCTCATTAGTTAGGCATTGGTTTACTAAACTATCTATCTAGTTTAGTAAACCAATGCCCTTTGCTAATTCTTTCTCTACCTTGCTTCCTTGATTTAGGAAGTCCTTTCTTCCTTAGCCTTTATGATATTCTTCTTAGGTCTCTATCACAGACTTACCGTTGTAGTGAGGCTTGCCCTCCATTAGGAAATGGACAATACCATTAAAGGGAAGCAATCAACAAGGATGGAGATTTCATACGAGCATGCGAAGGAAAAAGATGTAAAAAAAAAAAACACAATGAAACAATGGCAGGGAGAGAAGGAAGAACTTGAATTTTCCTTAATGAATATTTGGTGCATTCTAAAGGGAAGAAAAAAAACTACTAGAAAATGGATTGGACAAAACAAAAATGTATCTCAAATTTTGATGGAGTATGGTGATGGTCTGAAATCATGTTCAAACTGTCAGATTTAGGTAGTGAACTCTGAAGGAGGAAATGAGATAACAAGGACTGAATGATGTTGTTGAATTGATATGGTGTGTTCTTTATGTGATACAAAATACTAACCCAGTAGTATCCTAATAGTTTGGCCAAGTACATATTACAATGATAAGAGGAAGCCTACTAGTACAACAAGAATCTGAAAACCCTAATTAAATTGCAAAAAGAAAATTCAGGAAACATAATGAATAGGAAACAATTCCTAAGAATAATTTCTCAATTGGTTAACTAATTTATTCCATTATTTTTTCTTCCAATCGTGTAAGATAATCTAAAATACTACACAAAAAAGATATTATAAAATATTTTGTTGATATTATAGTGGTAGTAATAGATTAGTTTTCCCTTAAATGAATTTTTTAATGCATGATTGAATTTGTCCTTCATTTTTCTGAATTTTGTGTTTGACAGCTGGAGAATACTGTCTTTTGGGGAAAGTATCTTTGGAATCACTTTATATGGCTTGGAATTATTTTCCGAGTTTTCGTTTGGGGAAGAGAGCTGAGTTTTGCACAACTGTGGATTTGTTTCCATGTATTATGAAGGTATGATGATCAACAATATTCTTTCTTTGTTTGGGGAGATAACACCTTCATTAATCTTCTTTCGTTTGTGCCATTTATTTATGGTATATACAATGATATGTATTGGCACTATATTTTTGGTCTAAGAATCCATTTCAAGCTCTATTATCTATTCCTCACGGTTCGATTTATGTACTCGTTCATAACTTTCTTTATGTTGCAGTGTAATTTTATAAACGGGGATGCAAGTATCTCCATTCAACTTCCATCTAATCTTGAAAATATGGTTAGTTCTAGCTTCAAAGTCATTTCCTACTAAGCAAGAAATTCACACACCTCAACCCCAAATAGACATAGAAATCAAATGAAGAATTCATTGTATTGACTGCTGTTTGTTTCTTTCCTTTTCTTTGGATTTCTCAAGAATTTATCAAAGGAGTTATACATGTCAATTTCTGCTGAAGAGTTTGGGGTCAAGAAAAAATCTTCCGGGCCTTCCATGCCCAGACAGTGAAGTGTCATCATCATCATCATTTCTCATATGATCGGGTAAATTGTTGGGTTTTTTGACAAAACTCGAAAAGGAAATAGTGACTTGGATATCATTGCAAACTGGATTTAGCTTTAGCTCTGTGTACTTGGCTACTTATAATTGTATCCACCTTTGGTAGTTATGCATGCAATTACTCTCGAACTAGTTTTTTTTTTTTTTTACAACTTTAGGCTTTGTCTATTGTTCTATATGGAGGGTTTCATATTGAAGATTTTGGATTATTTTCTTCATAGCAATAGATACAAAATATACTGAGATTCATAGCAGAATATTTGTTCACAATTGTGTTCGTAGTGCAAAGCACAGTCAATCCTAACGGATAGTGGCATGGTTGCTATATGATTTTAAATTGAATATCTGTGATTTCTGTGGAGAGATGAGAACAGAAAGTAAACAGGAATTATCTCAGCGTGTACTTCCCAAGAACCTTTATCAACTACCACCTCTCAAGATTTATCTCACCACATGCCACTATTTGTTGCTCCATATTATTTATCTTGGCTTGCATTGAGAGCATCTCTTCCCTCTTTTTAGTTTTCATTAGTAAACCCTTCAGTTGTCACTTCTCAACTAAGGTTGCATTTCATTCCTTTATCCTGTACCTAGCTCCTTGACATTGTTGAACCTTCAATGCTTGATTTTGCTTATTCCCATGAATCCCCCTTTTGTTCTCTTCAAAGATGGCCTTAATTTCTTCAACCTCTATAGGATGAAGATGTTTCACATGGGAATCTTAAGCAACAATTCAATTCCGTAATGCTTTTTCCACCTTTCCCAAGTCACTATACAATTTTATATTCTGGATTAATCAATCTGAAAGATGTCTTATTGGGGTTGAGGAAGTAATTGCCTTAACTCGGTGGCAGTAACTTTCCCTCCTCCATCTTGCACCCGAACTTTTCCTTTATGAGTAACTTTCCTCCAAATGCTTCAAACCTTTTTGAGGTAATTAAGAAGTTTGCACTCATAATCATTATTTAATTTAACATGTTCTATATAATATAAGAAAAAAATTGCCCAAAAAATATCATAATTTGTATTATGATATTAGACTATTTTAGTCTTTATTTATATTGCATTCTTCTATCTCTATATAAGTGTTAAATTTTTGAAGATTTTCATTTTCATAAATTGTCATTTCTTCATATTGATATCTATGCCAGAAATGGCACCTAATTTTTTTTGGGATTTCTTCATTTCTAATTTGAGTTTTTGCTGTTAGTTAATACTCTTGCTAAAGAGAATTTTAGAGTGTGTTTGGAATTCTGATTTTAACTTTTATTCAATATATGGAAATCAAATTTCACTTATATTAAAGGATTTAAAAATTTATTTAAACGTATTTTTTTATAACATTCAATAATTCATTCAATTGAATAATATCTTTACAAGAATATTTTATTATTGTAAAGAAAATTAATGAATTTTGATTTGTGCTTATAAGTTTTTTGCTTTTGTTTATCCATTTCTGTAAAATTTAAAATTGTTTTTTTAGCTTTTTATAAAATGTGTGAAATTAGTTTTTATTCTTTGTAAATTATTTTATGTTAATTTTCATTTCTTTAAAATTTCAAATCATTATTTTTAGTCTCTAATATTTATTTCACAATAAATAAAATGTTATGAATCTTAAGATTTTTTCTAATAATTGTATGCCATTATTATATTACAATATTAATATACGTCGTTTGAAATAATCGTTTAATATATTCTTTTCAATACATAAATAGTTAATTATAAAATATTAGATATAAAAAATAACTTTTCAAAATTTCAAACCTAAAAAAAAAAAGTTAAATTCAAAACTCATTCAAGTAACTGAAAACATATTCAAGTTTCTATCAAAATATATACACTTTTAAATAATTACTAAAAAAACTTACAAATGTTAAAATAAATAAATTATTAACAAATAATACGAGGAACTCAATTGGTTTCAGTGTTCAATTTTATTCATATAATTTTATAATTTTTTTCCAGAAAACTTAACGAATTAAACTATTGAATGCAAAATTTTAATAAAGTAAATTAGATTTGTATAATTTTACATATATGAAAATTAATTGACAGCTCATCATATAATTTTATTTTAGCAAATAATATATTATTTAAAATAAAATGATTATAAATATAAATAATATGTTTTAATATGTAAAAATTTGTAAAATAAAATACATTCTACATCTGAAAGAAAAAAATGTTTTTCTTTATTTTCTTTCATCTGAAAAAAAAACATATACTATACACAATAAAAAAATTACAATTCATATTCTAATAAATTGAAAATTTTTCAAATTTTACTGTCATTAAATCAAGAATATTTAAAAAAACACTCTTAAATCTAGTCTTATCACTTACGAATTAATTATTTATTAATTTTATATTTATTTTTTAATTATATTAATTAGAGAAAAAAGCTAATAAATTATTTAAAGCTATTTTAATTAAAATAATAAAAATTAATAAGAGGGAGAATAACCGGACATAACATAAATAATTTTATGTTAGCGAATCATCATCAAAATGAACAAAGCACTGTTGAAATCTATCTGAAAGAGGAAATAAATTTATTATTTTTAATCTAAAATGAAAAATATATGATTTACACAACATATAATTGAAACAGGCCTTTAAATTGCAAGAACGTGTCGAGTGGAAGAAGAAAGTGATGAAATAGATGACTTGCTTTACCGAGACCGACACATTACTGAATCGGAACCAATTGTGGTGGCTCTGTTTACTATCATCTATCAACACGTTCCCATGCCTTTATATTCCGAGTGTAAGAGACATAAATATGTTCAACACGTGTCTCATTATTTATTTATTTATTCTTTAATAACATTATTTTTAACATGTTTTGAAGAAGGAAAAAATATCTTGATAATTTTTTTTCTCAAATGTCTTTTTTAATGATTTTATGTAATAATATAATATTAATTTTAAATTACTTTATTTTTAAATAAATTTTTATGATTATAAAATTATAAATTGAATTATCTAATGAATATTTGTGCTTTTCTGATTATCCATATATTATCTTTCTGAATTTTATTTTAAAAAAAAACTAACTTAAATAGTAGGGTGTCATATTATCCTATTTTATTACATTAATTAATAGGATTTTATTTTAAACTATTTTAATGTTATTGTTTTATGAAATATTTTTTTTTATATATTTTTTCTATTTTTTGAATCACATTTTTTTTTGCTTTTCTATTGCATGATTTTTTAAGTTTTTTTTTCTCAAATATAAAAAATAATTATTTCTTTCTTTCGTTCTCCAATTACACAATAGTTTTTATGATTTTTTTTTACATGTAATAATATTTATAATTTAGAATTTATATATATATATATATATATATATATTAAACTTATTTTATAAAGTAAAATATAATAAAAAATTTGGACTAATATATTACTTGTGTTTCCTTTGATAAATAATTTTTGTAACCATTTTTTTCATATTTAATGAAATATTTCTCTTATATTTTATTTATTATCTATTTCTTCATTACACATCTTTATATTTGTCTGATTCTTCAATTGTCAAATTCTTCTTTTTATCTTCTAACGACTTTTTTTGTTATGTGATAATATTGATATTTTAAAATTAATATATGAAGTTTTAACTCACTAAAATAAAAAAATACTACTACAAAAAGGCACATGTCGATGTGTTTATTAAATTATGAAATTAAAAAAAAATAATAAATAGGAAACAAAAAAAATTGTAAGTTTTTTTTTTAAGTTAAAATGTATTAATTATTATATTATTTTCACTCATATATAATAATTTTTTTATCGGTTTATTAATATGACAGGGCTTTGAGTTCTCAGTTTCTCACCTCACTTGCGTTGGTTTCACTTCCCCAAACTCACCACAAAAATGCGTTCTTTTGAGAATTAATCAGAGAGACATAGAGAGAGGAACTTCTTTAGATTTTAATAATTTCCAGAATATTCGATTTTCAATCTCGCATCATAATTTTGGGTTCAATTCTGAGGTAGGATATGCAATGAAGATCACATCCTCATACTTCACTTTTGAAGCAGAGTTTTGAATCAATTTTGGATTCAATTGCTGCCATTTCTTCGGTTCCTGTCAAAGTGAGAACTTTGAGCTTTTTTCCGGCAACCCGTTTGGTTTTAAGCTGCCAAGATTATTTTTTTCATTTCTTTTCATTATGCTTACCAGAAAACTTCTCCTGGGCATTCTCTATTTTTTTTGGTTCTTTGAACCCTTCATTTGTTTTGATCCTTTTGTTTTCTGTTTTATATTTTTTAATTTTTGTGATGGATTATTGTGCTGTAGTTTGTTATTCCATGCAACAGGATTGCATGTCTTGTTTCCCACAATGGGAGACACCTCTGAGGCCTTTGTTTCTCACAATTGAAGAGAACAAAGTCTTGGCTTGTGATTTGCATTGCATGCACATGTGAAATATTTCAAAAAAGAAGAAAGATGAGAATTTGGGAAAATTTTGTGATTAAACAATTTCAACAATTTTTCATTGTCATCCGTAAGGACATTTGGCCACTTTCAAGTCTTATTGAGCATAAAAGCATGCATGCAACATTTTATGTCACACGGAGTATTTGTAATTTGGAGCATTCTTTCATTTATAAGCTCAGTGGTTTTAAAATTGATAAAAAAATGAGTTTTTTTGTCATATGTTGATGTTCAGGCTTTGATGATTGAAGTCTACTCCATTTATGTCTTCAATATTTGATGATTAGGGTTTTGATGATTTTATGTGCCATTTCGATTGCAGATTTCTTACAAGCAATAGAAAGTATCGCGTTCTTAAAGATTCAAAATTTCAGATCAATATTATATGCATCTGAAACTTCTGCAATAAGAAGAATGCCAGGCATTCCTGTTGCGGCTCGTGCAACCTCGTATATCCTTTCAGACAAACACTACCATTTTGTTAACTTTTACTTTTTACAAAAGCATTTTGTAACATAACCAGTAATTATATCTGTTTTTTCCTGCAGAAGCCACCATGATGCTTGTGAACATTTATCTGCAGAGGAGGAGATTGCAGCTGAAGAAAGTCTTTCAATTTATTGCAAGCCCGTTGAATTTTACAACATTCTCCAGCGACGTGCAGTGAGAAATGTACTCTATCTGATTGTCTAATATTCTCTGCCTTTGTAAAAATATTGTCATTATTTATCATTTTTATAGAATTTGTGAGGCATAGGGCTGACTGTATTCTTGCTGGCTCTATCTCTCATAATTTTATTCTTCCGATAAGCTATTTGGGCATGTTGTATTTCTAATAGAATGTCTTTGTTGTGCAGCCATCATTCCTTCAGAGATGCTTGAGCTACCAGATAAAAGCAAAGCACAAGAAGAGGTAAAAAAGTGCCATATATAGCCTCCCTTCTTCAACTTGCTGTCTTTAACAAATTTACATCATATACCCATTATTTTAAAATTAAATAGAAAGATTTTTTCAGTCATATTTCTGTGTTGACTGCTGAAATGAGCATTTTGTAATTTAGACAGATACTTGTATTTAATAACACGTCTGAAACTTGGAAATGGAGAAACAATTAATGTGCGAACTTGCTTGTTACTATCATAAAATATGGCAACTTAGGTCTTTGATATGAAGAAGAGGAGTAGACTTAATTGAATGAACAAGTTTCTACATTTACACTAAGATTTTTGGCTTTTTTGTGATTCTAAAATGATTTAATATTAGGATTATCTAATCAAGTAGTTCTTGCAGATGTATAAAATCTGTCCTCAACAATGTATTGTGTAAACCTTTTCCTTTTGTCTTGATGAATTTCTTCTTTCTTCTTTTAAGGAAAAAAGATAAATCTTGTCCTGTTTGAGATGATGATGATGATTAATTTTATGTCATCCTTGTAATTCCTTTTCTTGCTGTATGGTTGAGTTTATTTATTTTTTACTAGAAGCTTGAACTTTCTGTAATTTCTAGAGATTTCATGTGAGACATGTTCAGTCTGTTTTATCTGAATATAATTAGTATATATATACATACACACACACAAACAAATATATATATATACACAAATGTTCATTTTTATATGCTAATGGGATATGATATTTGCATAATTAGAATACAAATGACAGTTTCCTTGATGCCAACTATTACGGAAAGCCAAAATGTGTTTCCCATGTCTATCTGTCTTGCAAGGCGGGTTTCTGACTATGGAGCTTCAAGGGTAGGAATCTTGCTTCTTTTAAGTTGATTCAGTTATGATTCCTTAGTGAAATACTATATATCTAATAATTTTGTAATGCTTTTTCTTTTTATCTACCAAATACAAAAAAAGCAATCTGTTGTATATCGAGTCGGTCGGATTTTCATCTTTCGAAGCTCTCCTGGAATTGATTTGAATACTCAAGTCCAAGCAAATTTTACACTCCCTGAAGTCAACAAGTTAGCTGAGGAAGCTAGATCTTGCTCACTTGATATCTTGTTTGTCAGCACTGCCACTGGTATGGATATGCTTATGTCATTCAACTGTGATGAAATTATCTACGAATTTTGCTATGTTCTTTATTATGACTATTTACATGCAGTGAAAAACTCAAATTTGTCATCTGGAGTCAATTCAAACTCTATGCCTTCGGATATGAATCATCTAGCATTTTTTGAATGTAAGCTGTGCTTTAATTGCTAATTACTGTCAAACAAAAAAGATGGCTTTGATGACTTTGTAACGTTGTTATTTTAGCCCCCTCTTATTTTTTTCTTAAATATATTTACCTTGAGGGGTATTGGCCCTGATCATGGCGAGCTTCTTCTAGTGGGTCTCCTCAAACTCTTTACTAAAGGCCCCACAAATTGAGGTCTGTTAGTGTACTGAAGCACACCTCATGATCAATTGAAGTACTTCTAATTTACACTGCTGTATGCTTTTCTCTATTTTACTTTGCACCAGGTTGCTGGATTGTTCATCGTCTTCTATAATTGTCCTTTCATTCACAATGAATTCATCATATAAAGTATGTATAACAAAAAAGATAAAAAAGAGTTTCCTTAAATCTGTTTGAATATAAATATCCAGTGCTACCCACACCTCAGTTGTCAGATTAGGAATCATATCAAGAATTGTTTGTCCTAATTGATCCAACTCTGAACCGTGAACCGGGAATCATAACATATCATCCATATAGGGTACATGGTTGCCTAAACATAAAAAACACTTCAGGTAATCTATTTTGGAAGACTGATAAGGAACAATTCCTGACCTTTAAATGAAGGTTTAATTAATTGCAAACTGGTAGTAGGTGGTTGATTAACAGCTATAGAATTGTATGCTTCTTCTCCCTCTAGTAAATGCAGGTTGGGGAGGCAATGTGTGCTGCCACCTGCAGCACTTTTACTACCCCTGTCTCTCTCTAAACTTTTGACATGGTAGTAGAGTCTCTGAGCAACCAAATGGTCAGAGATCTGATATTTGTCATCCCATTCATGGTTAAATTATAATTTTGATTCTTCACACCAAAATTTTCTGATCCGCACCAGAAAGCCTAAGCAAGGATGAGTTGGTTCTTGACAATATTATTAGTCTCAACCTTGATTTTTGTTTTGACCTAATGAAATGACTTGTCTAAATATCATGCTATCCAGAAATTAAGGAATTTTGTTATGGAGGGTTCATTGAAAATCATAAGATGGAATGTCTAGTTATATTTGTATATATTTTTTTAGTCTATTTGGCCATTGAAATTATAGGATTTAGACAGTGAAGGAAAAAAGAGAGAGATTCTAAATAATTAGACATTTGATTGATATGGTGTGTTGATAACTTGATACCAAATACATGCCCTATGGCCTTATTTTATATACTAATAAGGCTCCACCCATCCCTTTTTCCCTCAGGTCCCATGACTGGTCCCATGGCTTCTTGATGAACCTGAGACATGGTTGTCGGGAATTGATGGTAATCAATTTGCAGAAGTACCACAAATTGGTATGCAAGTATCAATTTGCGGTTAGTAGGGATGAGGAGTGAAATATGTTTCTATGCAACTAGCACCTTATTAAATACATAAATAAATTAGGAAACATTGTGAATAAGAAATAACGACTAGGATTACTTTGTCAATTTTTTGGAACAATTCATTCCACATTATACTCTAAAGATCACGGAAGTTATTCTAAAAGCTTAAATATTCAATAATATAATTAAGATAAGATGAAATAGATATTTTTACACTCCTCCTTAAGCTTCAAACAATGAAAAGCCTGGGAAATTAACCTAGAAATTAAATCTTGTCCAAATTATTTTTTAATGCTTGATTGAACTCTTTCAATTTCTTCATTCTGTGCTTGACAGCTGGAGAGTACTGCCTTTGGGGGAAAGTGTCTTTAGAATCACTTTATATGGCATGGGATTGTTTTCCTAATTTTCGTTTGGGACAGCGAGCAGAGATTATGTCAACTGTGGACATGCTTCCATGTTTTCTGAAGGTATAATGATTAACACAATATTTTATTTGGGTAGAAAATGCCGTCATTACTCTGCTTCCCTTTGCGCTATTTAAAGTATATAAAATGCTCTATATTTTGTTCTAAGAAGCCTCTTCGGGTTCTATCATCTATTCTTCATTGTCTGATAGATGTACTAGTTCACAACTTTCTTTTATGTTGCAGTCAGATTTTAAAAACGAGGACACAAGAGTATCAATTCAAGTTCCCTCTAATTTTGAGAATATGGTTAGTTCTAGCTTCAAAAGTCATTTCCTACTGAGGCAATTATTTACACAAACCCCAAAATAGTTAGGTAAAAAATGGAGAATTTGTTTTGACTGTTGTTTGTCTTTCCTGTTCTTTGGGTTTCTGAAGAGTACATCAAAACAAGTTCAAATCACAATTTCTGCTGAAGAGTTTGGGGCCAAAGAAAAATCTCCCTATATTTCATATGCAGGCAGTGAAGTACCATCCTCATCATTATCTCACTTGATCGGGTAAATTTTACTTTCTCATAAGAATCTATTATCCATTTAATCATTATAGTTGAAAAGCTTGAGAAAAACTCTGTTTTTGTGAAATTTGTCTTACAAAACTTAAAAAGATAAAGATAAATAGTGATGGATATAATTGGAATTAGCTTTTTGCTTGGTGTCGTTGGCCACTGGCTTGTAACTAGTTGGTTGTAGCCACCTTCCTTGTTAGTTCTGTACTTAGTTACTCTTCAACTACTGATTTCTTTGCATGTAGCTTATGTCTATTGTTCTATATGTGATATGGGTTTCCCATGGAAGATTTTCATTTCTTTTGTTCATAGTTGTAGTAATAGAAATAATAGTTTCTAAGATTATTGATGGTGTGGTGATTCACAATTGTACTAGTCACCGTGCTATCGAAAATATCCAAAACCCTCGAATCCTTTACAAAATATAGCGGAAGTGATAACAGGTTATGGTGGAAGGATTGCGGGAAAAAAGGTACAATATATACGTGTAGATAAATAAAAAAAGAGCAGAAATATAGTTACAATGAAAATAATATTGAAAACAATCATACAATTTATAGTAATAACAAGTTTAAAAATTCAAATAAGAATAACTTAAAAGCAAAACGCTACCAAGTTTAACTGCTTGCTGAGTTACCATTGGGATAGTGGAAAATAGATATTCAGGGGTTAAATTTTATAAAGGAAGAGTATTGGGTAGAAAAGAAGGAAAAAAGAAATAAAGGGGAAAGGATAATATGACCAGAACCAACGAGGTAACAAAAAAAAAATGAGAACCTAGTAAGATGGGCTAAGGGAGTGTGGTGGGAGAATGGGGACAGGTGGCGGTGCTGCAGTGGTTAGGGAGCAGTGCTGTAGTGAGTTGATGGTGACAAAAAATGCTGGAGGCAGTGGTAGAATTGGTTGCATGCAGTGCTACACTGAGTTGGTGGTGATGGGAAATGCTGCAAGCGGCGACAAAACTGGTTGTATGCAAAGGAGGAGCAGGTTGCAATCGGTAAGGGTATCAAAATAGGCAGATCTTCAGTTATGTTCTACGGATCAAGTAAAAAAAAAAAATTTGATAATCCAATTTTGTCTATATTTTAAAACAGCCTATGTTAGACCAATGAGTCATTTTTGGCTTGGTAAAAACATAAAAATAAAAAAATATTTTTAAAAATTATGTTATATTAATGAAATTAATTTTAATTTTTGATTCATGATTTAATATATAAATTATAATAATATGTATGTTTTAATAAAATATATATTTTTTATTCAAATATAATTATTATTTTATACAAAGAGTTGACTTATAAGCCTAAGGACCAGCTTGGCCAAAGTTTATTTAGGGCATGAAGTACATGGATTGGACTGAAATTACTTGCTTCAATTAAGACCACAAATTTTTTTACATGAAGTAACCAATTTTTTCGGGTAGATCCATTGGACCATAGGGTTTGTTTCTGATAAATGAAAAAGTGGGTGGAATTCCTACATTTCCTCCCTAAACTTGCTAAACAATATTCATGGGCCAATATTGTGTTTTCTGACATGTTGAGAGTAGTGGCTGAGATGGCTGTTTTGAAAATCCAAAGGTGCCTATTCATTTTGGCCTGTGGTATTCAGTAATTAGCATTAAATGTTAATTAACGATATGCTTTGTGATGTTTTCCCTTAATTTGGAAACAGATGCACATTTGTTTATGCTTTTTTAGCAATGAGAAATACACATTGAGTAGGTGTTTTTGGTGTTTAATGAATTTGAATGTGCTCCCTGGAGCTTGGAGCAAGTTCTTGTTACCAGTTTTACAAGGTTTATGACAGTGCACCAATACTGCTGTCCTGTGGTGTCTTTAAGATAAAATCTTTTAAAGAAACTGTGCACAATGTATTTGAGTATCGTTGATGGGCATGCTGAACTGGATAGCTCTTTGTATTAATTGTTGTCCATCTCTGTTTGTTCTCCCTGTTGCTTTGTTTAAAGAGAATATCTTATGTTCATTGTAAAACAACAAATTAATGACACTGTTATTTAATTTCTATTAAATAAATTGGTTGAACATGTTAACTACAACCTGCTAGTGTTGTCCAGGTTGAGGGAAGGAAATGTCATGTTTAATTACAGGTATTACTGTTTAACTTTTCAATGCTCTTATTTGATTTGTATGTGAGGTTCTGATCATGGACTTCTTAATGGGGTTGTCTTTGTCAGATAATGCTGTTGAGGGATTTGAATACTATTATTTTCTGATGATTTCTATTTTTGTTCTGAACCCCATGTTTCCTCTATTGTTAGATAAGTTTGATCATTCTCTGTTAATGGGTCTTTTTTTTTCAATTAAAAATATTTCAGGTATTACAATAATAAGTTGCAGAGGACTGAAGGTAATGCAGATGTTATTTTGTCTCTCATGTTAATATGTGACTGCTTTCTTTTCTTTATGGAGTAATTAATGTATTTTTTGTGAACATTTGAAGATTGTTGAACGAGAGAAAAATAGAGGAAACAGATGTAGAAAATATATCCATTTTATAGAAGCTGATGATGTTAAATACAAATAATTATAGGAGATTTTATTATCACATGCCTATAAATCATATTCTAATAAGATATTCCTATAGTTATAAAAATCTTAACAATATAGGTAAATAAATCAAACTGTACAATAAGAATGAAGAACCCTAATAGATCATCCAAGATACTCTTAAATATTCTAAGAAAACCTCTTTAGATATATCTTATATTTCTAATACTCCCCCTCAAGCTTAAGCTTACTAAGTTTTAAGCTTGTTACAAGAAAATAGTTAATTTTCCCGCAAACTTAAGAAAACCTATGCCAGTGCATATTGGAAAAGTTGGCATTGGGACAAAGCCTGAGACCAATGCATATGAAAGGCGACAAGCATGGGGTGCATCATCGGATAAGTCATGACTATGAGTGACAACTATGAAGTGGCAAACCAATTAGGACACAGTAGAAAAATGGTAGTCATGCTGAAAATGGGAGATTCAATGAAAGAGGTGACTAATTGGGGTTCCATTTTTTTGTTTGTTTTTGTTTTGGGGAAATCAGTAGCATAATAGTGACAAAACAGCTCACGGAAGATGGTATCTCTCAAATACCATGTTGAAAAACTAGATGCAAGAGACGCTGGAAGCTCTGTTTGGTAATGGCTTAGCTATTCCAAGATAATATCTTTTGATATATGTTATAAATTTCTAATAAATGTTGCCCAGGTCCTGTAAACACTATTTTTGTGTTTTTTGTTTTTGAAGAATATATTATGAGATACCATAGGACTTGAGGATAACATCCGGTCAGATTTTAAAAATTTTTTGGAATACGAGTAATAGTGAATATTATATAGCTTTGATCAGAGCAAAACTATTTTAGAATTATGGATGACAACTTAGACCTTTTCTATTGTTGAGCATGGTATTGATACGGATTATTCATCACTAAAAAAGATGACTAACTCCACCTGAGCATGCACAAGGTGTGTATTTCTCCCTTAACATGGTTTATTTCATAAACAAAGTGGTAACACAAGGATTCAAACCCTGAACAATTTGATTAAGGTATCGCTTGCGCCCATGGGGATTCGACTCCTAGATTAAGAGAATCTACTTCATGTGAAAAATAAACATGACATCTTTTAAATAACATACCAACTCAACCCCATAATTTAGCAAAATAGTGAATAATAATTCCACAATTCTAAAATAACTAAGTTAGTCCATGACTACTATATAAGTTCAGACTACGTCAAATAAATAAGTTTATTGTATCTTACAATGTTCTTTTCTTTCCTTATTATGAATACAAAGTTTCTTTGCACAACTTTTGGTTGCAGTCACCGAAGATTTCACTTGTCCGTTCTGTTTGGTTACATGTGCTTGTTTTAAGGTTAAAACTACTTTCTTCTTTTAAATTATACTTTTTCAATATGATTTGGGACATGTTTCTAATGCTTCTGACATGATCTTCTTTAGGGTCTAAGATATCATTTGACCTCCTCACATGATCTCTTCAACTTTGAATTTTGGGTCAGTAGTCTTTAAATCTCTTTTTGGCATTCTATTCACTGGGCCGAACTGAACCATCAGTAATCAAGTACATAATTTGTAGGTATCGGATGAATGTCACGCTGTAAATGTGACTGTGAAAAGTGATATCTCGAGATCAGTGGTGAGGATAGTTTGTGCTCAATTACTTTTATTGTAAATATATTATTTTCTTTTGCAAATATATTATATTATAATTAGTTATGCTTTGTCTATTACAAAATGATGCTTCTCTAGATCCTTGTGAAGATTTATCTCTTTCATTTGGAACTAATAAATTTGTTCTCAGACATTATTGGCTAAATGATTTTGGGCCTTATATTATTTCTTATTCATCCTTTTTTATTCATATTCACATTCATATTTTTTGATACATGACCTTGTTCCACTAGATTTGTGACAGCTTTAAGCCTTAGAAAGAATACTAAATTCAATTAACCCATTTGTCGTAAGATATTTTTTTAATGATTTTCCTCATCTTCTTTGGTTCCACTTTAATTTGGGCTATATGTATTTGATTCTGATTGGAGATCAGTGGTTAAGAGAGCATATGGGACGGCTAATAGAGGGGAAACACAGCTGTAACCAAATAGAGGGTGGTAGTTAGTTAAGAACTAACTCAGATGTTGTTTGGAGAGGAGAGGTCTTTTGAATACCTCATTGTATTTCTTAGTCAGTAAAAGTTCAATAAAATGCAGGCTCATTGGCTTGTTATTGTTTTCCAAATCTTTCCATTCTATCAGTTGAGTCCTTTCAGAATTACTTTTTGCACTAAAAAGAAATACTAGGTTTCAAATAATCCATTTGGGTTACTTTGAGTTTTCCCTTCACATGATAAAACCACTTTAGATTTCTTTCATCTTCTCTTAAAAAATTTGATACACCCAACTTTATTCTAGTTACCTCCATTGCTAAATTTATCTTGCATTTGCGTGCATGCATCTCAACCTTTGCTACCACAGTGCACTGCCAACTTATTTCTGTGAGCTAGAATTCCTCTTTCAATTTATTAGGCACTCTATGATCTCAGACACTATCTTTTGTCCAGATTGTTGCTGATAATGTTGATCCAAGAGTGCAAACATTTTTCTATTGGTAAGCTATTTTATTTATTATACTTGTTTATTGGCTCCGGATTGTTTTCATAATTTGCTATGAGATTCGGATTGCCTACCATGTCTATATGCAGTGGAAAGCCCCTTAAGCGGAGGACACCAAAGCACCTATCTTCGAAAAATTCTATAGGCTTAGAGTCTGCATGCCCTGCAGGAGAGACTGATGTTTTGGAGAAGGATGATGGTATGTAACTAATTTTTGCAACAATATCAACTACTTGTGTCAATGGTCCATTAATGCTCTTAAAAACTTGAAGAAGGGGCAACTATATATGATTTCCCGCAAATTATTTGTCTTCTTGACAGCTGAAGGCATGTGATCTTAGGCATCAAAATGAGGATTTTCTAAAATAAGTTGTCGATTTTCAAGATAGTTTTCTCTCATATCATGGATTTGTGTAGAAATTGTACCATGTTAGGGAATAGAATTGAGAACTAGCAACTTTAAAGATCGAAACATGTCAGAATTTTTAATTTTTTATTAGACATTTAAATGAAAGCTTGAATTAATATAAAAGAACCATATTATATATCTTTGTAAAAAAACTAAAAAGTTAATTAGAGTTAAACTAATAAATAGATAAATAAATATAATTACATAAATATTATTATTAAATATATCAATGGCAACTTAAATATGTTTCACTAGGTAATATATGGAACACTTTGCTTTGAATGTTAGATCAGCCATTTATGGTGTTGTGGGGTCATTTAGCTGTGGTTAGCATGTTTGGACTACGAGAGAGCCTTTCACATTTTCTTTTAACAACCAACAATTTGATTGCTATTACTTGTTGATGTCAATTTCTTACATAAGGCAATTATTAAAGTAATGCATTCATTACTACCCCTCCAAATAATTTCATGCAAAATTGATTTCGATTGTACTTGTGCATTAGCACTCATAACATTTATGGTCTCCCATACAACCATTTGCGGTTCAATAATGAGCAGATGATCTTTAGAAAAATGAACAAATTGCACAATGGCAAACTTAATCATAATAAGTAATTGATTAAGGGAAATGCACTTATTATTGAATCACAAGGTGTTATATAAAATCCATATAGCCCAAAGGATATGAATGAAAATAGCAATACCTACACCATGTTCTAAATTGATTTTACATGAGTTTAAAAAGGGTAAAAGTGGAAGGATATCAATTTTATTATTAAATATCCATTCTTCTTAGTCATTGCCTATTTTCCTTTTAATTTTTTAAACATAAAAAAAGAGTCGAACTTATTCCTGTAAAATATTTATTAGCAAGTTATATAGTTAAGTAGTATGTAAATTAAAATAAACTGTGCAACACATGAAATAAAGTAACTTTATCTAATCTGGACTCAACCTTTTGCAATAAGGTTCTGCTTTTTCACATTTATGTCAAAGGGCAATTTGCTTTTCCTAATACGGTCATGCTCTTGCTGTTCATGTTTCTTAAGTTGTGGTTTTTGCCCCATGATGTTGTATTAGTGCAGCCAGAGTGTTTTAGGAATATGTTACATGCTGCTGTGCTATTGCAGGGATTTCTGCCACGGTTATCCGATCACATCCTGACCGAGAGTCTGTCCAGTCAATGTCTGACTGTGATCAAGCAGTCCTTCAGTTTGCCAAGACTAGGAAGTTGCCAAATGAGTCTTCTGACTCACGAAAGTATGTTCTACAGGCTTGTTTCTCTATCCTTGGAAAACAAAAATGGGGATATTACGTTAAAAAACTTTTTGATATAGAATTACAAGTGATATCCTGTAACAAAACGTTTTATCATGAAATAAAAGCCTTCCAAACAGAAATGTTTTTTATTGGAAATTAGAATGATATTTCTGAAGCAATAATTTACCTACTAATCAGTCTTACTTACAGCCTTAAACCTAATAGATCAATATGGCTCAATGGTTGAATGTAAATTTCTTATCAATGTTAGAGTTATTTTGATCTATTAAATTTTATATCATATTTATAGGTTGGTTAAGCTTGTCAAAATGTCGCATTTGGGATGCTTATTATATGTGGCAAGTTTATAATTTGATTATTTGGGTCTGCTTTTTATGTATTTCTGTCAATGAATAAGCAAGAGCCTTATTTTTCTACTTTATTAATCCAACAAACATTTTTATGCTGAATGTAGTCGATGTCATTACAAATAGTCATATGTTACTATGTGGTATCAAATTGTTCTTCATGTGATTCCTGGACTGATTTAGACTTTCCTTGCATTGGTTGTGTCAGAGTAAATCATCAATTATGGTTTTTCACTTTTGATTATCATTTTCTCTATATGTAATCTTTATGGACACGCCTGACATTATTTTGAAAACATTTCAGCCATGCCCTCTTAAGGAAACGACAGTTTTTTCATTCTCACAAAGCTCAGGTAAAGCATCCTTTATTTATATTTTGTACATTTTTATCACTGAATGGAGCTGCTTAAATTTCAGCAGTGGTTGAACTTGTGAAATTTAGAAAACTATAATAAATTGGTTACTAGTTCTTCTCTGATGAAAGTGATTTTTGTTATGAATTTTTGCAACATAGCAACGATGCATAGTTATTAACTCTAGTTGTATTGATAGTTATACAGATTTGCTTTGTGCACTAAAAATGACTACCGTTAGGCTGTTAGTTTATGCATTTGGTTGTGTTGTAAGGTCTCCCTTTTTCTGGTCTCCTTGGGAGCTTCCTTAATTACATCCTAGATCATGACATCTTTATATCACCTAAGTAGTGTTTATGAGGCTTGGACAATTCTCACCTTATAATTAATTAGGTATTGTTGGGTTGAGTTAGATTCTAATCTCAGGGGTGATGACCTATCAGCTTGAAGGTTGAATAACATTTTCTGCTGTTAAAAGATTTTATTGTCTCTTAACAATTTTTTTTTTTCCAGTATTATGACCAATAGCTTTGTTACTAATTTTCCTTTTACTTTTGCTTAAAGCCAATGACAATTGAACAAGTTCTATCAGATAAAGATAGCGAAGATGAACTTGATGATGATGTTGCTGATTTTGAAGATAGAAGGGTACGCTTGGTTATGTTGAATTTTTAATTTCTATAATTCTTGTAGCTGTCTATCAATTATTCATTGCAAGGATCATAAGAGTGATTTCTAGTTTCCTTTTCGAAAACTCATCTGAATGGCTTCGAAAGTGAGGCTTATTCCACAGACGTGACTGTACTTCCAAATTGTCCAAACTTCAAATACATGAGCATTAGCTAGGCTTTTCAATTCGAATTGGATGTTTAAATTTTAATTAAGTTTTAGATCTTATTTGGTGAGCTTATCATCATTTGTTAACATTTCAATAAATTTGACTCATTGCAATGGATTTTGATAGGAATTCAAGGAACTAGCCTTGATTACAGTGCAATTAGTATAAGAAAGAAGCAAATAAAAACTGCAAAAAGAAAATGTACTCAGAGAATGCTCTCTGCATAGTGACAACAATCACCCCACAATTACCTCCAAAATGATACCCTCACACTTTCTCTAACAGAATTCTCCTTCCCAAATATACCCAGCAGATTTCATGATAGGTTTAGGTTGAGGCATGACCTTGGATTATTAAATGTCTGCTGCAGCTCTTATTATTGGCATTCATACCTTGCAGATGCTTGATAATTTTGTTGATGTGAGCAAGGATGAGAAGAATTTCATGCATATGTGGAACTCATTTGTTCGGAAGCATCGGTAAATCCTTCTTTTCTACTCAAGCATTCTATTTGCTGCATCTTTGTTGATTTCCTTAATAACAGTAATGTTGCTCCTTGGTGATAAGTATCTATACCTTTGAGCTTAAGCTGATATGTATACTTCTCTTGATTCAACTGTTTTGTTCTCCTGGCAGTGTGATTGCAGATGGTCACATTTCATGGGCATGTGAGGCTTTCTCAAAATTGCATGCACCCGAGTTTGTTCGGTCCCGCTCACTGGCTGGGTAAACTAGTTTCCCTCATGTTTCAGCTCACATGTTTGGAATTCATACCTTCGCTGTTTCTCTGGTCTTATGATGCTTTTAGTCAATCAATGCATGTTTTAAACTTAGTTGATATTCATCATTCTTCTATGGTTAAAGAAACATGTAGTCATGATGGTCCATGTATTAGCAATGAATGGATAAAATGCATAGTTGTGGAAATGTTCAAAGTTTTGGACTATCTGCAAATTTGGAAATAGTCTCTTTTCATATCCAGGGGTAAGGCCGTGTATAATGTATATAACTCTAATTCTTTTTCTGGCAGGTGTTGGAGAATATTTATGGTCAAATTATACAATCATGGTCTTCTAGATGCTCGGACCATGAATGACTGTAATATTATTCTTGAGCAATACCATATGCAGAACTCAGATCCCAACAGCTAAAAAAACTCATTTTTACCCCTTCTTAATAGAAGAAATTGATGGCAGAGTAAGAACTTTTTGTTTTATTTTCCCTTCACAAGGTACAAATAGTAAGGGTTTCAATTTTACATTTTGCAATTGTGGGGTACTGTTATGGTCGTCACCATTATTTTGTTTTGGGATTAAATTTTGCATCCCTCTGGCATAGAACTGAGGAAAATTTTAAGCAAACTTCAATTGCATTGACATGATTATTGCTATGTTCTGCTTTCCTAATTTCCTTTTTGACACCAAAATTATGTTCATCACTCATCTCACTTTATCCTCAACTGTATATTCATCATGTTACATGGTTTCTTTTTTAACCCGTTTTCTTTTTCTCATGTCACTAAACCGTTTTACCCATGTTTCAACTTAACGATTGATGGCTATTTATGAAGTATAGATTTTAATATAATATATAAAATTTTCAACTTTCAAAGTTTCTGAATAAATTATGAATATTTAAAAGTAAAAATATTCTGGCAGCCTCAAATTATATTGTTGTTTTGTATTACTGAATTCATTGTGACATCTCCTACTTAGAATATTTCGTAATGATGATGATGATTGCAGAATATACTTGCTATGTCTGAAATAATCATTTTCAAAATGAATAAAAAAAATAGTAGTGTTGAAAAATGTAAATGTGTTCCAGATTATTCTGAGTAACTTGTTTCGAAATACAAATTTTGAAAAATAGAAATAGGTTTGATACATTTGGTTTTATAATCAAATGTGATGTTTTAAAAATTATCTTCATTTGATTCAATTTCAAGAAAAATGACAAAAATTCTCATGTTTTCCATTTAATAGAAGAATCATGCTTAATAAATTATAATTATTTATTATGTTTATTATTAAATCCAATAGTTAAACAAAAAAACTAAAACAATTAAAAGAATCATGAGATCGTAAGTGGCTAATTTAATGAGATAATGAGTTAGTTTTTATTTTAACAGTTACGTAAAAAACATAATTTTTTAAAATTTTATTTAATATCATTTTTCGTGTCTATTTTTTGATATGGTTAAAATTAATTCTAATGCCATATGCACTTAATTATGTTTTTAATTCACGTGATATTTTAATGTATCATTATTTTGTCTAAATATTAAACCAATAATTTTGAAACAATCGTTATCAGGATGACATATTTGTATTTCTTTTGAACGTTGGAAACAGGAACTCTGAAAAAATGACACGCACGCAGATTCATACATCATTTAACGTAAAATAATGAAACCAAAACACTCAACTTTAAATTAAATAACGTTTAATGTTGATAGCCCCACGATTACGAAGTAGCCTGGAAGGGTCGTTTGGTGAAGTAAGGGTCCCCACACACAACACAAGTCAACTTCACATTTGAAACTTCCATAAACGACAAATAAACAAACGTGACCTTTCTTCCAACCCTAATTACTCATCCCAACAAAACGATGCTTCCTCTCACCATCTTCGAACCCCTCTAGAAACCCACTTCCAAAGTTTCTTTCTTTCCTTCTTTTCTTCGTATTTATACGCCTCTCACTCCCCATTTTCCACTCCACCAATTCAACTCTCCACTTTCCCTACTTTGCCAACCAAACCAAACCAAACCACCAAGCAACCTCCATCTCTTCTCTTGTGTTACAAAACAAAACCATGCAACCCTTTGAACCCAATTTCACCTTTTGCACCCCCAACACCTCAGTTTCACAACCCATAATACAAGGTTCAATTTCACCATCTGATATTTCTGTCACTGATTACTTGCTACCCCCACATGTTCAGCTTCAACATCACATGAACCATATCCGCCTTCAGATGCCTCAGCTCACATCTTTCTCCAAGCCTCCAAGGTCCTCAAATCTAAGCAACCGCAAACCCTCCTTGAAAAACATCACCATCCCTTCCTTAACCTCAGGTCTTGTGCTGCCACGACACATGGAAACAACAACAACGACAGTAGCTACAACCATGAATAACAACAACAATAACCCAGTTTCTTCTTCTTCTTCTTCTTCTTCTTTAGATGATGCCAACAATACCAACGAAGATAAGCACTATAGAGGGGTTAGGAGAAGGCCGTGGGGGAAGTTTGCTGCAGAAATTCGGGACCCCAGTAGAAAAGGCTCAAGGGTGTGGCTTGGAACCTTTGACACAGCCATAGAAGCTGCTAAGGCTTATGACAAAGCTGCTTTCAAGATGAGAGGGAGCAAAGCCATATTGAACTTCCCTTTGGAGGTTGGAGAGTCTGAAGAATCAGTTTCAAGTTGCACCAAGGTTGGTGTGAAGAGAGAAAGAGAGGAAGAGAGTGAAGGGAACAAGTATGAGGCAAGTGAGTTTAGCAGTAACAATAGTATCAAGCAGATGAAGAAAGACGATTCCTCTCCCAAAGGAGTGTGCCCTTTGACTCCCTCATGTTGGAAAGGCTTTTGGGACACCGATGTTATGGGAACCATCTTTAGTGTGCCTCCTCTGTCACCACTGTCTCCATTGATGGTTGTTTAAGATTATGGCCAAAAAAGATGAAAGAACCAAAGAGAGAGATGATGCTGGTGATTATCCTCTCTAATCTAGGTTCGTAATTTCCCTAAAACCAAAATGGTATTCCCAATAGATTAAAGATATATGGGTTTGTTTAATTAATGTAAATATAGGATACTACGAAGCAAGATTATTTTGTTTGTTACAAAATATTTCTCATCCTTATCTTCTTCCCTTTTCGATGTTCCCTGGTCAAAATATGTTGTATTTTAGAAATTTGTTTATTCGTTCATTGAAAGTTGGTAACAGTTGGTGACATTATTCATTGGACTGAGTTTCGTTATTTCTTTTACCCACATAAAGATCTTGTAAGCTTCTGCGAACAAAAAGTTTCTCCCCAAATTTATTTAGATTTTAGATTTATTTCAGTGCTAACTAGATTCTCATCAAATCTAATACAAATCTATAATGCATCTCTAACTTTGAAAGAATATATAGAATAATATGTTTTAATAATATATATCTTTTAACATTTTAGAATTTAATATAGTTGAAATTAATAACCAAATTAAATTTTTATGTTATAAATCTAAAATATGATTCATCTATTCAAATTTAATTAGATAAAAAAGAATATCTTAGATTAAAATAGTAGGGCATTTAAAAAATTTCAAATTTTCCATGATTCATTAATATTAAAATAATTAGGGAAGCTTCAACGCAATTTTTATCACACAAAACCAAAAACCAGACATCATTTTCATTCTTTCCTCATCAAACACACTTCTCTGCTTACAATTAATTGTCATTCTAATTTGTAATCATCCTTCAAATTCTCCGTTCAAGCCATGTGTGTTCATCTGGAGTTTCAAACGTCACACCAACTCCATCTTCATAAAAATAATTTCTTACGAAACATAATACCATATTTCCATATTAAAATAAATATTTTAAAATTAAATAAAGTAATTAATATTAATCAAGAACAATAAAAAAAAAAAATAAATCGAGTTTATATGCAAAATGTTATTTTTAAGGAAAATGATACTTTGACAACCCAAATTCATACAACTCATGTAAACAACTCTGTTTTAATATTATAATAATAATTTTATTTTATTTTTATTTTTATTAGAGAAAAGAAAAATAATTATCATTTTCTTTTTCTCACATAAACTAGATAAAAAAAATGTAGTCAGTTTTTTTTAATCAACCAATAAATAAATCACTAAATATTTTAATTAACTAATAAAAAACTTAATGAAATATTTATTAATAAAAAAATATTTTGTAAAGTAATTTTTAACAACTCCATCTTCACGTGCGTCACTTGATTGCATTCCATAAATATATTTAACCCAATTTCTAAAATAAAAGTATTTTTTCTTCTTTTCCTTGAATTATTGTACATTCTAGTCTTTATCTTGAATTGACGTTTTGAAGTTGCGTAATTGTTATTTATTTGATCCTCTTCATTGAAAATTAACATCAGTATTCATATTAAATTCATCTCAAGAAATAGACATATTAGAAATTAAATTCATGTCATTCACTTTCAATATATTCATCTCCTCTAACCATAATTTATAATATTTTGTAAACTCATTTAGATTAGTCTTTATGCTTAAAAACATTAATTACTAGTTTAGTCATCTTGATCTTCATCTACTCACTTAATTATACATCATAATTTAATCTCTCTCTATATATACGCATTTAATTTTTTTTTACATGTGTAACACGTTTTTAATTATTGATACAAAATTCTTAGAAATAAACAGATAATGTATTTATTTTATATATTGAATTTTTCATTCGTACCACATTAAATGATTTAATAAAAGTAAGATGATATATTTTTTTATTAAAATTTATATTTTTATATCTAAGAAAAATATGTTACCTTTTAAAAAGTGAAGTGAAGATGAAAAACATATTTTTGATATCTAAATTTTTTATCTTTTCTAAGAAAAGATGGTTTGAGATAATGAAAAGTGAAATAAAAGAGATTAAATGGTGAGTGGTGACATTCAATATGTTTCAATTTTTTCAATCTCTTCTATCAATTTAAATTCTAATTAAGAATGAAAAAAATTGAATAATATATAACAAATAAAAATATATAATTTAATATTTTAAGATTTTTGATTGAAAATAACATTAATATAACTTATTTAGTGTTATCTCTTCTCAAATATCTTTTCAAAAATCAAACACGAACATCCAACAAACTTCACAGTCATTTCCCCTTCTTCCATGCTTCCTCTCATTTGTTTTTATTTTCATTTTGATTTGGTTTTACACTGAGACAATTTTCATTTTAATTTATTTTATAAAAATTTAACAATAAAAATATTTTTAATGTAAATCACACAAATATAGTTTATTTTAGTTTTGTTATATTAATTCTTATATATACATATAGTTTTAAAATAGATATTTTTAATGTAGTTGTAATTGTCTTTTTAACATAATTCAACTTATTTTATTAATTATTTAAAAGGATTGATTGGACTAAAACTATTTTATATTTCTAACTTGTAAATAAACTAATTTTAGATTATAAAAGTTTGTTTTTTTTTTTTAATAAATTTTTTTATGATTTAAATCGGTTTTTCATGGATTAATGAGTTAGGAGGTTGGAATTATTTTTATTTTTTTAAATCACTAAATAAGTTAATTAACTTAATAAAATAAGTGAATCAGACTAAATTAAAAAAAAAATATTTTTTAGATTTATACTAACACAACACCTCTAAATCCTATGTACTACAACAAGGGTAAAATAATATGAGGGGTACCAATAGTAACCCATTGGGCTTTACTCACAAAATGAGCTTATTATTATCACCACCTCTTGGATAAGATATTATTCACTATCTTCCTTTAGATGCGTTCCCGATTCAAACGTCAACGATTTCTTAACTTCTGGGTTAAATTGTTTTTCCTGTTATTTGATTTGAGTAAAATGTATTTTAAATTTTGTAATCTTGCGTTAAAATTTATTTCAAATAATATTTTAAAATTTAATATATATTCCTGGTTTTTAATTTTAGAAAAAATATCTTTTAAATAAAAAATTCTCATATTATAAGTTTATATATAAAATTAGTAATACAAGGTTGATTTTAATGCATCTCTTAAATAATATGCCACGTCTTGAGAGTGAAAGATAATGCAGCCAAATGCTTCCATGGTATCCACGTTAAGAAAAATGAGAAAGAAAGAAAGTTGTGTGGTTGGAAGATTCTTTTGAACTTTCTTGGATGATTCCCCTCTTTAACAAGTCACATTTAGAAGAATATATTCATTCATAACAAGTTATATATGTTCATAACAGAGACAGAAAAACAGTGGGAAATATTTTGGTTCATTTTCTTATGTGTATTTTCATTTCAGAATTGACTCATGAGTTGAATTGTTATGGATTATAAGGGTAAATATTTGTCAACTGATGAACATTTGTTGTTGGAGCAACATCCTATTAACCAATGAACAATTAATTATCATGAAACTCATTAAACTTGTAGCATTCGATAATAACTGCATAATACACATTTATATAATCATGGGTTTAACATTTATGAGATTGTCCAACTAATCTTAAATAAAAAATAGAGTTAACAACTCCACTCCATAAGAAATTATGTATGAAATTAGAAATGGTAATTCTTATTTAGAATAAACTAAACAATCTAGCATGCTATGGTGTGATACCAGTATGAGCCAACAGAAGTGGAGGTGAACTGAAAATAATTTATAAGTTTCCCTCAGAAACAGAGATATGCAGCAACAAGAAAATATGTTTGTTCATTTTTTTTTTCTACTTTCAATCAGAAATTCATTAATATTCTTTTTTTAAGCTCCTCAAAGTTAGAAAAAGTTTCATAACATAGATTCACGTAGACATTTCACTTTAGCATTGCTTCTATGTACAAATTAAACAGGCAAGGCAAGCTTATTTTCCTAGGTAACAAACTTATGCTACTAACTCTATTGTTCTAACTTTCTCAGGACACACCATGATGAACTTGGACTTGTGACAGCTCCAATTCATGGCTCTCTCTTCTCCTTTTCCTGCCACAACTGTTTGGCTTTGGATCAGACTCTCCAGCCTCAAGAGGGAAGTTCAGAATGGCCTTCTGACCCCTCATCTTGAAAGCAGCACAATCATAGGCCTTAGCAGCATCAATTTCACTGTCAAAAGTGCCAAGCCAAACCCTTGTCCCTTTCCTTGTAGGGTCACGGATTTCAGCAGCAAATTTGCCCCAAGGCCTTCTCCTAACTCCCCTGTAACGCTTTGCCTCATCATTTTCTGCCTTCTTTCCCTTCTCTTCTGATGATACCATTGGTTCAGGAGAATTGCATTTCTTTGGTTCCTTAGAGGGGATGGTGATGGTTGTTGTTGCTGTGGACTTCACGGCCTTGTGATCAACAAACTCCATGTCTGCCACCAAATCATACCCTTGAAGGAAAGTGAAGAAACTGGTGTTGTCTGAAATAAATGAGCTGAAATCAAACTCTGGTGATGAGGGGGCTTCAAGTTTCACAGGATGGAGGTTGGAGAACAAGGAGTCTGAGATGTTTTCACCTAAGAGATGTTGGCGTATGAGATCCAAGTTTGAAGTTTCTTCTGCTGTTGTCATCTTTAAGGAGTGATGAAACAATGTGAGGTGGATTATTGGATTGAAAATTGGTTAGTGGCTAAGGTAGATATTTATATCTGTCTCTCAAGCGAAAAAGGGCCCCCACAGCATAAAGTCTTCGCTGAAATAGCTGTTTTCAACTAACAGGTCATTAATGATGTAAATACAATCTTGTGTTCTAGCATATGCTCTAACCTTGGAATTTGGACAAACCTTCCAACTAGATATTTCTCAAAGAAATACTATGGTAAGTAGAAATTTTTTACAGAAAAAGTGTGTGTGTTTGAATACTAGTTTACTTCAGGTCAACACAAATGACTGAGTGTGTTTGTATATAAGTTTTCACACTTTATGAGAGCTTAAGCGTGAAAGATAAAAATTATAGGTTAAGTTAGCATGCTACATAGAGACATGAAATGGCGTTAAAAGTGTATTTGAAAGTAGAAAATGAGTTGAACAAATACACTGCAATAGTGTGTTTTGATTACCTTTGCACTCACAAAACATTGTTTATTTCAACTCACCATGAGAAGCTTTCCTGATTGTGCTCTTTGAAATGCATGACAACTAAAAGTATGTTTGTGTTGCCATTTCCGACTCTTGTCTATACGTTCACAAAAAAGATATATTTTGTTATTTATGCGTTAAAACTGCATCAGAACGATCACCACAAGAATTCATATTGTAACCCAAACATGTGCTGAGTTGGTACCTTGTTGGCATATATAGTGTTCTTACTTTTTGTATCTTATTTAAATATATCTTTAATTGTATCAGAGTTTTATGGAAGATTAAGAGGTTTAAGTACTGACGTACAGAGACTTAGGATTTGTTCCAACAAATGTAAAGTTGGATATAATTGAAACGTGTAAAAGATATATTTGAAAGCTCGCAAACTCTAAACAAAAGACACCCTTATCTGTACAAGTTTTCTTTATCTTTTATGTCGGATTTTATAATTGTCCCTGTTTTTGCCGAGTTTTACATATCAGAGAACTTAAGTTGTTGGAACTTACATGAAATCTTAGATGCCCAAGTGTTTTTTACCTTCTGTACCTTATTTTATGATTACCCTAATGTGTAGCTGAATTTTATCAAATTCTGTTTATTTATTATGTTCAATGGCCCCTTAGTATGATAGAGAAGAGCATAGAAAAGGGTGCTACTTTCAGCTGTGATACACATCAGAATTGATGGTGTAGTTACATCAAGTAGATTAGAATGGAGCCTCCTTTACCCGGTTATTGCAGTGAGGTGTTTGTGGACACTGCATCTTCTTATCCAAATTGCAATGTCACACTCTTAGGGGTGTGCCCACAAGGAAGAAAACCAATATTTAATTGTATCTCCCAAGTTGGTCCTTGGCATATTCTGATGCCATCTGTTGCTGTTTACTAGGAAGCAATGGACATGGACAAGAGGGTCAAGAAGATTATGCAACTTGTACTGTCAATGTTAGGCCTCAGAAAGTTGCCTTTGGTTCTTGTCTAGTATATAGAGAGTGTGTGTGAGTGAGTGTGTGCATTGCAAGCTAGAAACTGTGTTTTTTACTAGTCTAGATGGGGACCTGTTCCCAACTTGCACCAAAACCATTAAAGCCATGAATTATGATGCCCTTAATGTTTCACATAAAATCAAAGCACCCTCATTAATGGACAACACTACTTGCCCAAGTAGCTTACCAAACCCAAAAATGCAGAATAGTTTTGAAAAATGATATTTTGCAAAAGTATTAGAGTGGAAAATTAAATTATGTGGAGCAATTGGTTGAACTTAATCCGTTGCTGGGATGACTTTTTAATTATGTTTGTGATTCATTATTAGATTCATAATTTTCATTAAACATTACAGTCAACAAAACTCCATATAATTTTCATTAATCAACTTCAATTGAATATATAATATAATATACATTTTCAAATATGTATAAAAATCAATAAAAAATTATAAACTCATGTGTAATTTTTCTAAATTTTATTTAAATATTTATTAAAATAATATCACATTATTTCATAATTAGATTTATTAAATTCATATATTATAAACAATTCATTATATTCTTAAATTCGTATTATCGTCTTATTAGTATAAAATTTCTATAAAAATATACATGTTACTAAAATATAAGTGTAAGTTGAAATTTTAAATTAGAAAAAAAATAAAGATAAATAATATATAAAGAGAAAAAGACCTGTAAATATAATATGTTAAGATTAAGTTAAATAATATTTAAAAAAAAACTCGAGAAATCTAATGTATTAAAGATTTTACCAATATATCAAATATAACCTATATTTGTTCAATATACTTTTTTCATTTACCAATAGAATGTTTAACTTATGCATCAATATTGAAGTTAAGGCCGTTATGCCCTCACACATTATCAATTTTTCTTTGTTGATTGAAAACTCTGATTTAGAAGGTGTGACAAGGGAAAAACTTCATTCTTGGGTTTCATGTGGTTGTTCTGCCTTCACATACGATATATATATATATATATATATATTTTTTTTTTTTTTTCAATCTTAATTATGTGTTTTAACAAGGAAGCATTCATTAGTGTTTTAAATTCATACATTAGGAAAAAAAGAAAAACACTTAATAAAAACACAAATTTTATACGACCTAAGGTTTCATATTTTATTGTCTTTCTATAACCTCTCTTCTTCTCATTAATAAAACGTTCTATCCTAACCCCTATATTTAGTTTAAAACGTCGTGTAAAAAAAAACATATATTTTTTCTTTAAAAAATAGTTTTTCAGTGAAAAAAAAAATCAGTTTTATTTATAATAACATCCCTCCAATTGAAGAGATGCAATTTCCATATCTGGAAAGTTTTTCTTCTTGTCCTGTAAGTTTCCATATCTGGAAAGTTTTTCTTGTAATGACTTATTGATCACAAGTTTTAGTCTACTCTCAAACTTTGAACATCGAGGCCTTTCATTAATTTCTTCTCGAAAGTACACAAAATATCTTGTCTAGATAATTTCTTCCTCAATATACAAATACTATTACCTTAATAACAGGACATATAAAATATAAACCCAAATTATTAATACTTGATTATTTATCATCCATAATTTTATTGATAAACATTCAAATTTTATTACCGAAAACTATAAACACGTACCTCAATCAAAAGTAATTTTTTTATGCATAAAAGTATATTAATATTTATATGATAAAGGATGAAAACTTTGAATTAAATATACTCGTTAACTAAATTACAAAAGTATATCTTAAAAAATGTGACGAAAGTTTATATGAATATATTTATCATACGAACTTGGCGAAGTATAATCATTTTTTGTTGTCTTTATGCACTGCAAATTTTCAGATTAGTCATTTTAGTTATTTAAGAAAGGAATATTAATAGTTATACAAGCAGGTTCGTTGTGTAAAGGAGAACTGTTGCAAATGTGCATAGATCCAAACCAACTAAATCAGATTGCTAAAATGGAGAATGTGTTCCAAATGAAAAATAAATAAACAACTAAATCAGATTGCTAAAATGGAGAATGTGTTCCAAATGAAAAATAAATAAACAGTTTAATATTAATGCACAGTCATTGTATATATTACTACTATTATATATACATGATTAAATGACAACACGATGTATATACAAATTAATTTCATAAATAGATAACCTCAAAATGGAATATATGATATTTGGAATAAGAAATTCCATTATCCGACCGTGTAATAGATTAGATATCAATAAACAAAATTTCAGTTTCTTCTTCACGTCAACGAATCACTCGAATCAGTTGCATCCATCCTACAAAGAATTAAATTTCAGATAAATTTGATTATTATTAATCCTAGTTTACTTACAAAATAGCGTAGTCACTTTGGAGTTACCTATAAGTTGCTTATATTGCCAAGTAGGAAGCATACTTAAGAGACAAGGCTTCTAGAGCAGAAAATGATCAATCATATGCTGTATAACATCTGCACCTTCTATTTGTGTGATATCATCTTTGACCTGTAAAACATTGTAAAGATGACGGAATAACATATGCAGGTAAAACAATGCATTCCACGAAATACAGTCTGAAAGACTGGCTATATCATAAGAGGTTAACTTAAATGGTGATTAATTATGATATAGTCATGTATCAAATTAAAAGATAAGCAGAGACAAAAGAACATGGTGATCACAAGGGTATCGCAAGACAGACCTGAATGATAGTATGAGCAGCAAATCTATTCTTGCTATTTCGGAAGCTAACATCTATTTTTTCCCATGACACGCGGGATAAGCCTGTTACGAGCTCCTCTGCAAGTGTTCATTCAAGTTAGGAAATTCTAAAAATTGAAGATAACATATAATAGAAAGAAACAGACCACAGTGACTCAATGGCCAAAATTCATGCAATGTTAGTTATCCATTGCAAGATCAATGGCGTCAATAACAACCAAATCTTATCCTATTAGGTACAGTCAGCTACAAATGGATCAATAAAAATTGATTAATTTATCTATTTCAAGATGCTCACTTCCTACGGGATTATTTAATGCTTAAAAGTTCAAACTTTGCATTTAGAGAAAAAATAAATTATTTGATGCACAAGATTATGGATTTCTTTTAAAACAAAGAATTGCGGATATTGTTAGAATATTTCAAAGAATATCTCATAATTGATTACCTTTAGAGTAATAATGTATAGTATTTTAGATAATCCCCGGAGTGGTTTCAATATTTCATTATATTTCCTGATTTATTTCATTATTTGATTAGAAATAGAAGTCTATTACTCCTGTAAACAGAGGTTAGTGCATTATTTTATAACATATCAAACCATACATCAAAATATTATATTAGAATTATTCAAATTTGTTTCCACCCCATCCCCAACATTTCTACAATCCCCACCTAAACCGCTATAATTTCAATGGATATGATGTTGTCTGTCGGAAAATGAAGTACAACGAAAATCACAAGTTTTAGTAAACACTCGAAAGTATTGCAATTGATGGACAAAAAACACATTTAGGGAACGACAGCAATAGCTTAATATTAATGATATCAACAGTATTCTAAACTGAACTGATTGGCCAAAGATTATAGGAAGCGGAAAAGTAAGGGAAGGTCAACCATGTAGAACCCGGGGTATGGTGGAAAGAAAACCACAATTAGTGGACTCCCAAGACATAGAAACCATAGTTTCTAAAATGTAAAAGACAACTGCAGATAAGGTGAATATTCCTTTAATTTAATAAAAAAAAAAAACTGAAGAAGCAAACCTTCTATCTTGTCAGAGTTGTCATTTTCCAATATGTCATACTGTTCAGAATCGGAACAAGCCTTGCAGTGCTCTTCATATACAACATGTGGATATCTTTCATTGATGGTATCCTTCCACTATCAACAAAGAGTTTTATTTCATTATATGAAAACAATGATCCATTAACTCAGGCAACATAATAAGATGTTAGTAAATATACATTTGCAAGTTCACTCTGACGTCTAATTGACGATGTTCTCCAGCCAACAATATCTAAATTATTTTATAAAGGAAAACCAAATAAAATATATGCAACAACAAAAGCTAAATGCACCTAGAATTAGTAGAAAGAAGAAGCAAATAAGGATACGATCATAGTCCACATTTGAATATGCAAAGCGGCGTTTGAAACTGCGCAGTGCAGACCTGCACAAAGCAATCAGAAGACATGATGATCAATCTCAACAAACTACATACATATATAAAGAAACTAATATATGAAGCAACAAACCTACATGAAATACAAATCACCATAGTCTTCAATCATCCGTTGAAGCAATGGAGGTCTTCCTTCATCATCATCGGTAAGGAAAAGATGCCGACCTGTTCTTCTAAAAATAAAATGAATAACACAACTGGCAACCTTCTCAAAAGCGGGTACCCCCAACAGGAATGGGACCTGAAATTAAAAAACCATTAACAAATTTAAATACCCAAGTAGCGAAAGGTGATACAACTTTCTTTCATGGAAATATCCCAACCACATAAGAACTTTTCATTATAGTATTGCAACATCATAAAACATCTTCATTACAACCTATCAAAAGAAATCCAAAAATAATCACTTTCTATCGATTAGTACATTAATACTTTATTTAGGGTAGTATTTTTGTTGAACAGTACCTGCCAACACTTATTATTGGTTTGGTCAAATATTGGAACAAGTTGTGGGATGACAATTCAAATTTGTATGAAATTGACAGGACAATAAATATAAGTAATCTGGCTGAATGAAAAGATTGATTGAAAACTGGTATCTTATTAGAAAGTCCAAAGGACTGTTCCCCTCAATACAGTGCCTAACTTGAGAACTTCAAGGGTCTGCACCTCCCAACGCCTAATGGCCCCAATTCTCCCATAAATGAGCAGATATCTCTCTCAACTCTGCACCGCCTCTTTTATTATAGGCAATATGCCTTATTTCTCTAATTCCAGTCCCAATTAACTCACTAATATAACTAAGACATGGGCAACTAACCTATTGTAATTTTTAACTAACTGCTATTGAGGGTCACCTAAAACAAGTACATAGGTGTGTTAAAAAAATCCAAAGCAAACCCATCCAAACATTATTATAAACCATGTAATTTGTGGGGAAGGCACTTAATAAAAAATTATGTTAATTGAACTCTGAAAGAGAGAACAATTTAAAAAAGAAAGAAATGAGCCAATTTATAAATACGGTCCAACAAACCATTTTTATAAAGTGGGTCCAATAACCAAATCATTTTATATTGTGATTTGGTTCGGCCTTTTATAAACCCAAACTGTACACAGCTCTAGGTCTATATACAAAGAAATAATTTTGAAAAAAGAAAAATAGAAGGACAATGGTAAAATACTCAAAAACTCGATCCTACAGATTAAAATCAATTTCCCACATGCATAATAAATTACTAGTAGAAAATTAATTTCCCACAATAAAAAATAATAGTGGAAAATTAATTTCCCACTTGCATAATCAAATATCTGACAATTGTCCACATTTAAAAAATAAAAAAGTTATAGATAAAATTAATTTTTTATTAAAAAAAATTATATAATATGAAAGGTAAAAGGGAAAGGAAATGTGTCCATCAAAAGGGGATTACAGCGCAATTCCCTTATACGATTTAGAAAAATGGTTATAGATAAAGTTATTTTATTTCTAATAATGGTTGAAAAATAGCTATATAATATGAAGGGTAAAAGGGAGGAAATGTGCATACCAAAAAGCAATTACACATATCAATCCCCTTTATTAATAGTATAGATATAAACAGTATAGATGAGAGGTGTTACATATGTATCCAATAAGACTAAATTTACCTAATGTATAAACAATGAAATGGGAAACTAAGCAACGTTAAATTTATTACATTGTCAACAATTTCTTTAATAACTATCATTGTGTTTGGGAAACATAAAGAAAAAAATAAGATGTCAGTACCTGCTTATTGCCCCTTGAACCTAAATGAGGTGTGGCCACAGCAATGAAATTCATAGCCTCCAAGCCACCTATTGTACCCACTGTGGCCTCCTTACCTTCTTCATTGCATGAGTCCTCCACAGATCCTTTTTCAGGTGGCCTATACAGCCTCCCAATTGCATATCGTGCCACTAGTCCTCCCACAGAGTGTGCAACAAAGGATATCTTACGCATATTTGGTTTGCTTCGAATCACTTCAAGCACCTAAGAGTTAAAGGGGGTTGTTAACGACAAAATAATTATGTATCCAATATCATGGTATACAGGAATATGAAGAAAGTAAAGGTCTTATTACATTTATCTGGTTAACAAACAGACTCATTTGAACCTAAAGACACAGGATTTTTCCATCTCCAACATACATCTGAAATTTATATATCTCCTTGAACTGGTGAACAAACTTTAAGTTCCCATCCCCAAACATATAGACTCAGACTTTCCCGTCCAAAACTTGGGAACATTATATCCTTCCAGAATTCAACTGCACGAAAGCCCTTTTGTTTTCCAACAAATTACTCTCAAACATTTTGTGAAAGATGCATGTAAAAACTTTCTACAGGTTATGCTTCACCAGTGGCATAAAGGATATGTAAAAGACAAATGTGGCGCAGCATATTTCACATGATTTGATACAGAACTTCAAAAATCAAAATAATACTAGGATTACACTGACATGTTCACTTTTTTTTTTTTTTTTTAACATAAAGGGATCCATATTATATATCATATGCACAATATCATGTATAATATAATGGCATAGTTATGGTAATATAATCAACAGAATGAATTAGATAAATTAGATTGACTTTCACATGACATGCCTATTTAAAAAAGAAGGTCTCCATTATAGTCAGATACTAACCTCTTCTGCTAATCTCTCCCCCATTACATCGACACCATCTAGTGTATGCATAGACACATTTCGCTCGCTACCTGTGTGAGAAAAGAAGGGAAAAATAAAGCAAGCACAAGATACAAAATTTACAACCCATTCTTGAGAAGAAATTAATACCCAACAAGAATGTAGTCGATGATACAACAAATAAAAAAAATGATCCATTAAAGTACCATGAATTCCTTTTCATTCAAACTCAATACAATAATGAATGATTAAGGATATTTATTTTGAATAATTTCTTAATGAAAGATACCTTCTCCACAGACCACACGCAATAAAAGGATAAAAAAGGAGTTGCAGGTATAGCAATTGGTCAAAACACATTAAACATTCAAGAGGTCAAATCACAGTTCGTTAGGCCGTAGCCATTACAACCACAACATCGTACAAGTACAAAGAGTTTAATCTGCATAAACTGTTAACGTAAAGTTATTATACTGTCAAACTAATCAGAAAGCATCATTCATATGATTTTTAAGGTGATAATTATAAAAATTAATAACGTACATGAAACTTGAAACTTTGCCATTAGACAACATTGCAAAAAGCTTGTACCCTTTTACCGGTGGATGCATTAGTTATTCCTAACATAAACCAAACAATCTTATGCAACAACACCAACAATCTCTTGTTTTGACCACACCAATGCTTCTAAAAGAGACTTACAGTGAACAAACACTTTATCAGGCAACTCCTTGACAAATTGCTCCGAAGCATATTTCCAATCCGTTGTACTGCAGGAACAAACAATAAAAAAAATCAGTTAATTTCAAGAAACACACACTCAAATTAATCCACAAACAAACACTCCGTAAAACCTCCACCAAAACAAACACAATCAAGTAAAATTACGGAATCTAATCAAAATCGAAGTGAAGCAACGATGATATACCGTCCGAGAATTCCATTCACCATCACAACGAGGTGATCCGCGGAGGAAGCGAGTGAGGGTTCGGAACTCCAAACATCGCGGCTTCCTTCAACCACCGACTCCGACGCGCACACGTTCTTCTCCTCCTCCATAGGGCAAAAAAAAAAAACCTAGCAATTCACAAGACGAAATCGGAGTCCGAATGCGACACGATCGCTGCGCGAAAGGCAGTAGCAACTCCAAAATTTTCCGAGAAAATCGGAGAGGAAGACCCAGAAAAGAAAGCAAAAAGTGAAAGTAAAGTTTGAAGAAGAACCCGATGACGGTACTGGAAAAAGGAACCCGAGACAGTGATGATTCGATTTGGATTTGGCGTGTTATTTATACACTTGAAATAGAAAAAAAAAAAAAGAACTGATTTTGAGAGCTTAAAATTATCTTCTTGTGTTCTCTTATTTATAGGAGATAAAAATACAAATTCAGACATACAATAAATAAAGAGACATGATTAATCTTCTTGTCTTCTCTTAATTATAGGAGATAAAAATATAAATTCAGACATACAATAAATAGAGAGACATGATTAATACTAAAAAAAATAAACAGATGCATTCTAGGAACTAGGTCTACAACTAATCTCATAAATGAACAAGATACACTTAATCTAATAAATTCTTCAACATATACGAAGAAAAGTTGGTTGGTGTTTTTGGGAGTGACCGTGAATGTTACCCAGGGACGAAGGAAACTTACGCGGAAAACGATTGGACACGTGGCGGCACCGCCAGAGTTGAGAGTGTTGGGAAGGAGAAAAAGTGTGAACGCCACCACTTCTGAATTGAGAAGTGAAGCGAATGTCATGCTCCGTTGGATAACGGTGGCGAAGGATCCGGAATATTTTATTCCCCTGATCAAGCCAAACTGTGGAGCTTGTTCCCAGTTGTCGCTTGGGAAAAACAACTTGAACAGAGAAGAAGACGAAAAGAGATAAATAAATTACTTTCATATATTCACTTTTTTAATATATTTACTAAAATTTTAATATATAAAATTTTAAAAAATAAATTTTAAGAAACTTATTTTATAAACTCATAATAAAATATTTATATTTATTGATGACTAAAATATTTATGTTTATTGATGACTAACTCTTATTAAAATATGTTTAATCTAATTTTTCCTTCAAATTTTAATTATGTCAAATAGTGTCCAAAATAATTTTCCTTTATAGGAAAACAACATTACACGCTATAATTTTAAAATAAACATTCCTCGTGTTAATTTTATCTTATATTGTAAAAAAAGGAAATTTGAGATAAAAAAAATCCACAATATTTAGGTTACTTTTATAAATATACATTAATTAAATAAGTAAATTAGAAAACACGAATAAATTAATTATTTTCATTCTCAATTATAAACTTTTATTCTTTGAAGCAAGATATGCATAGATTTTGAGAATCCTAATTGGAAACAAATTACAACAAATTTAATTAAAGAATTCAATATTGTTGAGCTTATTTCAATGAAACTTTCGTTATATATAAAAATATAATGTGTGTAACTCTTGTATTCATATGTACGTAAGGAGTGGTACGTGTTGAAAGAATATTCATCATGTAAAAACTTATATAAAAAAAAAATGTTTCAGAATATGTTGTGTGAAAAAATTATTATTGGTGTAACTTAAGAATAATCATGAAGAAAACTCGTATTTAATAACTCTCAGAAAAAATTAACATTTTTTTATTACATACTAAAAGTTATCTCTAATATAAATATATAAAAAACTTTGTGTTTTTTAATTTTGTTTAAAGTAAAACGAAAATGCAAGTATTATATAATTTCAGAAAAATAATTGATTTAATAATTTGATATTTGGATGAATAATAAGATATATTTTAAAAACATGTTAAAAAAATTATTATTTATGGTTGTTTGGTGGGAGAATAAAATTAAATAAAAAAATCGAGTACAGTAGCGGCTCCGTACACGTAGATAAGGATGAAGCATTTTACGACCAAACTTATTGCAACCATCACAATGGCCATTTTTTATTTTTTTTTCTTTAAATTGAAGAGAAAATTTTAAATATGATTTTAGTTATATATATATATATATATATATATATATATATATATATAGATTATTTTCAAGTTTTGTTTTCTAAAAGTAAATTTAATTTATTTTTATAAACCATTTGTTATCCAAATATTTGAAGTTTTTGAATGATTAAATTAAGGTAAAAGTAGTTTGAAAGAATAAAGAATAAAAAAAAATCGTACGTGGAATAATCGAGAATTTATAAATACAACATAAATCTTAAATATTACTATTATGTTACGGATACTCTTGAGTAATTTAGTTTTGATTTTTTTTTTAAATTATCAAATTTAAGGTAATCAATTTTGTTTGTTGACGAGAAACTTAATCTAATAAAAATTATTAATAATTTATCTAATTATTTTATAAATTAATATAATTTTTAAAATATTTGAATATGAAATACTATAATATATTTTAATTTTTTAATTATTATATATATATATATATATATATATATATATATATATTGAATCTAACTCGGATTAAGTTAAATGATATTATTATATTTTTCTGAGTATAAAAAATAAAAAATATTGATCATGTGTAATATATATCTAATAAAATTGATGTAAAGTGTTATATGTATAATAAAAAGAAGAAGAAAAAGTAAATATGAATATTTAACACATAATCATAATCCCTCTATTCTTCATACTTATCGATACATTCAATGATTTAGACAGTAAATTCCCCTCTTCATGTGTGTTGGTCATGAAATTGATTAACACAACAAAAACTAGTTTTTAAATTTAGTTTAAGTTTACATATGTGGTAAAAATAGATAAAAAAAAGTACATTATAATGAATTTAATGCAATAACAATAACACCCATATCATTTTTTTTATCATAATAGATTTTTGAAAAAAAGTTCATTAAAATTGTGATGATGGTATGCTTAGACTAAAATTATGTGATCAAATAGAAGCAATTCAAATAAGGAATTTTGACAATATTTTTAGTAAATTACCTATTAATGTACAGTACATGTCTTTGTTTAAGAAAGGTTATACATTCATTAAAATTTTATTATCTACTACATAATAATTAATAGTAAATAATTATTTAGAAAAATGTAATTTTAGTATAACAACTGTTATACACTACAAGAAAATATTTATAAATTTATAAATACAAATTGATATTTATTTTGTTTTCTATACTTATATAATAACGTATTATAAATCTATGTACTTCAGATACGAAACATGCTCCAACCTCAATATAGGAAAAAAAAATATAAATTAAGAGAGTTTGTTATTTTTATCTAAAACCTTGACTTGTTATCTCAATGAAATATAGGAACATAATTATGTGTAGTAAAATAATATTGAAATGTTGTTTAAAGTTAAAGAAATATTGTTTTCTGGTAGTATTATTCATAATAAAAAATTAGAATTTATTAAGATTACGTGAGTTGAATCATTCAGAATAAAATACATTTTGAAGAATTTACTTGTCATAGTTACCATGTTAATATTGCAATGATACCATATGAAGTTTTATATGAAAGAAAGTATATAATATTTTTGTATTGGTATCATGATGGGAGAAAGTACTAGTCAAGCTAGTGCAACAAATCACGAACAAAGTCAGGGAGATATAGAAAAAACTAAAGATTTTTATGAGTAGATAGAAGTCTTATATTGTTAAGAGATGAAAACACTAAAATTTATTGTTGGAGATAATGTATTATCAAAAGTCAAATCCATTATAGGAGTTGAAAGAACTCTTAAATCTAAAAAGTTGAATCATAAGTTTATTGGATCATATCAGATAAAAAAATTAAAAAATCAACCTAGTAGCTTATGAATTAGCCTTACTTTCATAATTAGCTAACTTGCACAACATATTCCTCATATATCAAATGAGGAAATATGTATATGATCCAAACTATGTTTTGAACTCATATAGTTTGCATATTCGAGATTATCAATCATGAGAAGCATGACCAGTACGAATAAATAGTGATATGAGATGGTAAATCTAGTATCGTATCCATATATATTTACTAGTAAACTTATTTTTTTAGCATGAAAGTTATTGTGGTGGGAAGATAGTAAAAACATAAATTTTGTTAATACAAAAAATATATTCAACTGCTTGAAAAACTCTATAGAATGCTAAGTTTAATAAATTTTAAAAACAATCGTCTTTGTAGAATAGAACTCTATAGGTTATCTCTAAATTTAGAGTACTAACACTCTATTGAATTTTAGATCTATAAGTGATAGGAGAAACCCAATATGATAGGGGAAAATTCTGCATGAACAAAACTTTGAACGAATAAGTCATTTTTTCTATTTTGTAATTTTGTTTATTTCTAAATTTAAAAGGGGAATCTAGACAGTAATATATTTTGATTATGTGGAGGTGCTACCCAGATTTGGAACTAGAATGTTAATACTTGGGGAAGCTATGATTCAAAAATATCTAGGTAAGAGGAGTTATTTATTTAAATAATAACATGTCTAAATAGGAAATATATTTGTTATGATGTGTTATAATAAAAGTAGAAAAACATGTTTATTTTTTTATATTGTATGAAGTTCCTATTATATATTTGTGGCATAAACGAATTGTATTATTGATTATTAGATGAGAAAAAGGCTAAAAACTAGGAAAAACCTCTATTCTCAATTCCATTTTCTTTAAAGTGAGACCTGTGCTTGTTTGAGTAAAGGTTGAGGCAAGGTAGTAAAAGGTGGCTTAAGGTAATAACAATTTGCTTAAGTGAAGACTTTTCGCTCAAAAGAGCACTACAAGAAAAATTCATTTTAGCGACCGAAAAAATCGGTCGCTAATGTCAAAAAATTAGTCGCTAATCAGTTAGCGGCCGAAATTAGCGACCGAAAAGCGTCGTCGCAAAAAGCCAAGTCGCTAATGTGTAGCGACCGATTTCATATCGGTCGCATAAATGCAACTGATTATAGTTAGCAAAAATAGCGATCGAAATTAATATATGCAATTGGTCGCTAAATCGATAACAAAGTTAAAAAAATAGCGATCGATTTAAATTGGTCGCTAAATCAATAACAAATTTAATTGTTTTTATTTATTTACATTTTTAATTATATTTAATATTTATTTCCCCTACCTCTTTTTATATTATATTTTTTAAAAGTTTAACTTATTCAATATATTTATTGTCATTGTCGAGATTCAAACCGGTACCTTAGAGTTGGAGGTTGAAAGCCCAACCATCGAGCTACTAGGATTTTTTAATAATAACTTACAAATAAATTATATTTATATACAAATAAATGTATATCCAGTATAAATATATAAATATAAAATGTATAAATAAAAATATATTTATATATCTTAATATATATTTAAATATTGATATATTTATACATTGATATATTTATATCTTTATATCTTTATATTTTTATATATATTTATATCTTTCCATATTTATATATTTATATATAAAGATATTAGTTTTGTATACAAATAATATTATAATATAGTATATTATACTATTAGTATAGTATACAAATTATATATTAGTATAGTATAGTATACAAATTATTAATTTTGTAATTTATATACAATGAAAATAATATAATGGTATATTAGTATAGTATATTTGTATTCTAATTTTTAATTAAATTAAAATTATGCTAATAATGTATAATAATATATGAGGGGATAATAAATTTAATCCAATTACTTTTATAAATATATAAATATAAAATCTATAAAATATTAAAAATGATATTATATTTTTAAAAACAAATATTAGAAAAAGATT